ACCTTCGCCCTAGACGTCAACGACCCTCAGAGCTCGGAGACCGCCATCCGCACCTACCTTGCCGGCCTCACCGACCACGTCCATCAGCAGCTGATCTACGAGGCTTCCAGCACCGAGCATGCCGCCGCCACTGCCGCCTACGACACGTACCAGGCGGCGCTCGCAGGGTACGACAGGCGCGAGGCCACGTACATCACCGACCTCGCCGCCTGGCGTGTCACTGATCGGCGCGCGCTCACCATCCTCCTCGCCACCATTCCTCCCACCCTCAAGCGGGAGCTTGCTCCCACCTCCTCCTCCCTCCTCTGGCGGCTCCTCACCTATCTCTATGATCGGCACGATGTTGCCACCCTTTACTCCCTCATCAAGGAGTTCTAGAGCCTCACCATGGACTCTACCACCGGCGCAGCTGCCTTTGCGCGTCGCGTCCTCGACCTCGCTCGTCGTCTGGCGGCTCTTCGCATGCCGTACCCGGACCCTGTGCTCTGCTGCCACCTCCTTGAAGGCTTGACTCCTGCCTTTGACACCCACAAGATCGCCTACATGCAGCTTATCGACAAGCGCATCACCCCTGCTGAGGTCGCCCAGTAGATCATCACCACTGAGGCCGACCTCTTGCGCAATTCCTCCTCCACCGCCGCGGTTGCTCAGCAGCGCAACAGCAGGGAAGGGCGTGGGGGTGGGCGTGGCGCCGGTCGTGGTGGTGGTCGTGGTGGTAGTGGCGCAGGACGTGGTGCAACAGCTGCCTTTCCTCCTCGTCAGTAACTCCCTCGCTATGGTCCCACACGGGGTCAGCACTGCGGCCAGACCACTCATGCCACTGATACCTGCTTCAAGGCGCTCGGTGATGAGTGGTTTGCCCACGGCAATTCCGGCACCCCCCCCCCCGCGGCAATTCCTTCTCTCCTCGCCCCACTCCTAAGGAGGTTCGTACCTCCACTCTCTACCAGCCCGGCTCCTCCCCCTTCGCCCACCAGGCCATCTCTCAGCAGCAGCAGCAGCAGTTTCAGCAGCAGCAGCAGGGGCGCAGCACCTCCTCTCCCAGCTGCAGCAGCAGCTTGACCTCCAGCCGCAGCTCCCCCTTGCACCTCCTCCTATGGCTCCCCCCCAGCAGCCCTACCCCTCCTGGACCGCTGGCACCACCGCTTCCGCAGCTCATCTCTCGGCCGCGTCTCCAGCGCCCTCCGCCACAAGCAGTGTGACTTCTTTCCCCTCCTCTGGTTTTGTTGGCATGGTTAGTCAGGTTGGAACCCCTAACCCTTCTATGTATTCCGCTGCTATTAATGAGAATGTGATTCAGTACTCCGTCCCACCTCCTCCCTCACATCCCCCCCCTTCCACCACACTGGACTTTGTCCTTGACAATGGAGCCATAAAGTCAGTGCTTCGTGATGCGGGTATCCTTCACCCTCTCCCCGCCCCCACCTCCCTCCTTGGTGCCGATTTCAGCTTCTCTATTCCCTGTCGCCACACCTCTACCCTCCCCTGTCCCCTCTTCCCCTCAAGTACCGTCACTAGTTTACACATCCCCTCCCTCCGTACTAACCTCCGCTCCCAGCGATCCCTGCAGCAGGCCGGTATCACCACCATCTTCCCAGGTCGCGCTGATCACTGCCTCCTATACCATCGCATAGGTCACCTCCTCTCCCGAATTCCCTTTTGTCCTCACTCTCGCCTATATACCCTTCGGGTTCCTTGTCTTCCCTCTGCCCAGGCAGTCTCCCGCTCCCTCCCCCCCGCTCACATCCCTCCCCCTCCTCTCCCTCCTTCTAACCCAACCATTCCCCCCCTTCCCCCTGACCCAACCTGCTCCTGTCGATCCCTCTCCCATCCCACCGTCCTCCTCCACCACAAGCTTGGTCACCCCAACTTTGCCACCCTACGCTCGACCGTCACCAGTTTCATGCGCCGCCCGCATCCTCCTCCGGCGGCAGCTTCATGCGCCGCGCGGCACTCCTCCGGCGGCATCTTCCTGCGCCGCCCGCACCCTCCTCAGGTGGCAGCTTCATGCGCCGCCTGCGCCCTCCTCCGGCGGCAGCTTCCTGCACCGCACGCGCCCTCCTCCGGCGGCAGCTTCATGTGCCACCTGCGTCCTCCTCCGGCGGCAGCTTTATGCGCCGCCCGCGCCCTCCTCCGGCGGCAGCTTCATGCACCGCCCGCGCCCTCCTCCGGCGGCAGCTTCATGCGCCGCCCACTCCCTCCTCCGGCCTGCGCGTCATGCGCCGGCCACGTCCTCCTCCAGCGGCAGCTTCAGGCGACGCCCGTAGCCTCCTCCTGCGGCAGCTTCATCCACCGCCCACAGCCTCCTCCAACGGCAGCTTCAGGCGCCGCTTGTGTCCTCGTCCGGCGGCAGTTTCACGTGCCACCCGCATCCTCTCCGGCGACAGCTTCATGCGCCGCACGCGTCCTCCTCTGGGGGCAGCTTCATGCGCCGCCCGTGTCCTCGTCCGGCGGCAGCTTCATGCGCCGCCCGCGTCCTCCTCCGACGGCAGCTTCCTGCGCCGCACGCGTCCTCCTCTGGGGGCAGCTTCATGCGCCGCCCGTGTCCTCATCCGGTGGCAGCTTCATGCGCCGTCCGCGTCCTCCTCCGGCGACAGCTTCATGCGCCGCACGCATCCTCCATTGGGGGCAGCTTCATGCGCCGCTCGTGTTCTCGTCCGGCGGCAGCTTCATGCGCCGCCCGCGTCCTCCTCCGGCGGCAGCTTCCTGCGCCGCCCGCGTCCTCCTCCGGCGGCAGCTTCATGCGCCGCACGCATCCTCCTCCGGCGGCAGCTTCATGCGCCGCACGCATCCTCCTCCGGCGGCAGCTTCATACGCCGTCCGCGTCCTCCTCCGGCGACAGCACCACGCGCTGCCCTCAGCAGCACCTCCCTTGGGCAAACTCACCATGTGCCACCTGCCTCCTCCCTCGCGCCGTCCTGATTCAGGGGTTGCTTCCATTCAACGCCTCAAGACTTCTCTCTCCATGCAGACTAAGGGGTTGTGTTAGAATATCCTACTATATTCACTAGTCTACATAGATTGTTAGTCTTGAGTAGAGTTAAGCACTCTACTACAATTAGGGTGTAATAACCCTAATTGGAGATTGGGTTCCCAATTTGGTTGGGTCCACAACTATTTGGGACCCCCAATAAATTCCCACCATAATTATTGGACCACCAATAATCCCAACCATAATTATTGGTGGGGGCCAATAATCTTGGCCAACTCCCAACCAACCTTCCCTTCCTCTTTTTTCTCACATTCCTATGTAAACCCTTGTGTTTTCCCTCTAATCAACTTTTCTAAGTTCACCTTTTCTCACAAGAACTACGTCCTTACCCTTGGCAGCCCCTCCCCTCCCCTCCTCACTGGCTACTCTGATTCCTCGAAGGCTGACTCTAGGCCTGACCGCCGCTCCTCTCAGGGCTATGGCTTCTTGCGTGGCAGCGGCCTCAGCAGCTGGCACTCCACCCGCTCCTCCTCCATTGCCCTCTCCTCCTGCAAAGCGGAGCTGTATGCCGCTACCATGGCTGCGCAGGAGGCTCGATGGCTCACATTCCTTCTTGAGGAGCTCGGTGCCCCTCAGCGCTGTCCCACCATCTGGTGCGACAACGCCAGTACCATCCACCTCACGAAGGATGCTGTGTTCCACGGGCGCTCCAAGCACATTGAGCTTCGCCACTACTTCATTCGCGAGCTCGTGCAGGGTGGCCACCTCCAACTGGGCAAGATTGACTCTGCCGCCAACCTTGCCGACATCTTCATCAAAGCCCTCCCCCACGCCGCCCACTCCTCCCTCCTTTGCCTTCTTGGCCTCGATCCCCCCGTTCCCTCGTCCGCCTCCTGATTCAAGGCATCTAGTCTTATGCATGTTGGTGGGTTGTGTTGTAATATATATATATATATATATGTATACAACATGCATGCTTAGATTATGAGGTGTAGTCATTATCTTTATTGGGGGGTTGTTGGTTGGGTTGACCAACCCAGATTTGGGTTGGTCAAGATTGGATTTGGTCCTAGACATTTGGTTGGCACTATTCTTACCAAATGGTCCTACGACCCAACCAATCACCAAACACCACACTTCGTGGTTGCTTGCCTTCCAAGCAACCTCTCCCATTGGTCCACATTGTGGCCAGTCGGAGAGCACCACACTTTGTGGTTGCTTGCCCTCCAAGCAACCTCTCCCATTGTTCCACATTATGGCCAATAGGAGAGCTTCCCTTCCAACTCTTCCTTGCTCCTTGTTTGTACAATAGAGCCTCTTGGCTCCCTACTCAATTCACTCTTTTCTCCTCAAAGCTAATTTCTTCAGTCCGTGCCTGCCATGTCCAAGCATGCCCGTGCTTGCCATGTCCAAGCATGCCCGTGCCTGCCATGTCCAAGCATGCCCATGCCTAGACATGAGCAAAACCGGGTAATTACCCGACCCGACCCGGTTTTGCCCTACCCGCAATCGGGTCCGGGTCGGGTCGGGTCGGGTAATTTCCGGGTAATGTTTGGAGGTCTGATACCCGACCCGACATTTTAATACCGGGTAATTGGGTACCCGTCTGGCGGGTCGGGTATACCCGACCCGCATTTAATTGAAGTCGGGTAATATTACCCGGGTACCCCTAGGTGGCTGTAAATTCAGCAAACCCAGAGTAACAAACCCAAAGTCGGGTCGGGTACCCGCGACCCGACGGGTAATAAATTACCCGAAATCTCGGGTAATTCTCGGGTAACGGGTATGCATTACCCGGCCCAAGTACCCGACCCGACCCGGCCAGGTAATTCGTCAAAATCCTATTACCCGACCCGGCCAAAATGTCGGGTCGGGTCGGGTACCTGCGACCCGACCGGGTAAAATGCTCAAGTCTACCCGTGCCTGCCATGTCCAAGCATGCCTGTGCTTGGCATGTCCCAAGCATGCCCGTGCCTGCCATGTCCAACCCCCGGGTTGTGCACCACTCACTCGTGCGCGCGCTTGTGTGCGCCACTCACTCGTGCATGCGCTTGTGTGCGCCACTCACTCGTGCACACGCTTCTGTGCGGCGTCCGCCCCCGTGACCTTGCTGTGCCACTGGATGCGCTCCAGCGCCATTCGCCGCACGCCCATCTCGTCGCCCCACACCTCCACCTCCTCCCCCAACGCCTCCGCCACGTACTCGCCGCCGCTGCTCGCCCCTGACTGCTGGTGACGGTAGGGGGAGAGAGAGAGGGTAGGGGAGAAGAGGGAGCAAGGCAGTAGAGCGAGGTGGGTGCGATGGGATGAGATGAGATGAGATGAGATGAGATGAGATGTGATGAGATGAGAGGGGCAAGGATAGAACCATTTTATGGCGCCCTGTGGCAGCCCCCAGCAGGGCGCACGGTTGGCAGGTGTGGCAGTGGCGGCGGGGGAAGCAGGTGGTTGGGCCATGCCGTGTTGCTTGGACTCGATGACCCTCCCCAGCCTTGGGGCTCAATTAGGGGCGTTGACAACGAAAGGGCGACGAGAGGTAAGCGGGGGCGAAGGGGAGAGTGGAGCATGGTGAATGAGGGAGAGTGGAGCATGGTGAATGAGGAAGAGTGGATCATGGTGAATGAGGGAGAGTTGAGCATGGTGAATGAGGGAGAGTTGAGCATGGTGAATGAGGGAGAGTGGAGCATGGTGAATGAGGGAGAGTGGAGCATGGTGAATGAGGGAGAGTTGAGCATGGTGAATGAGGGAGAGTTGAGCTTGGTGAATGAGGGAGAGTGGAGCATGGTGAATGAGGAAGAGTGGAGCATGGTGAATGAGGGAGAGTGGAGCATGGTGAATGAGGGAGAGTGGAGCATAATGAATCAGGGAGAGTGGAGCATGGTGAATGAGGGAGAGTGGAGCATGGTGAATGAGGGAGAGTGGAGCATGGTGAACGAGGGAGAGTGGAGCATGGTGAATGAGGGAGAGTGGAGCACGGTGAATGAGGGAGAGTGGAGCATGGTGAATCAGGGAGAGTGGAGCATGGTGAATGAGGGAGAGTGGAGCATGGTGAATGAGGGAGAGTGGAGCACGGTGAATGAGGGAGAGTGGAGCATGGTGAATGAGGGAGAGTGGAGCATGATGAATGAGGGAGAGTGGAGCATGGTGAATGAGGGAGAGTGGAGCATGGTGATTGAGGGAGCAACATCGACCCATGCTGGGGGAAGCACATGAGAGGGGAGCAGCAAAGGAAGAAGGTGCAAGGAGGAGGGATATTGGGTATAATGCACAAAAAAGAGAGGACTCGAGCTGGGAAATGGACAGAAAAGCGGCGGAAAAGGTAATGGAGGAGGATGAGGGGCGAGGGTGGAGTTGGATGGCGTACGTCAAGGCTTTTCTTGAATTGCTGCTCTCGCTGCTGCTGCTGCTTCTCCTCTTGTTGCATCTGTGCAGAAGAGGCATTGCTTCTCCCATCTCCTTCCTCTATGCTTCCTCCTGCTTCAGTTTCTGCCGCGTCACCAGACGTTGTGGCACCACAACTGCCACCACTGCTGCTGCCATAGGGGGCATTGGATGCGTTTTCGGCAGGCCAGAAGGCGTGCGGCCCGGCTGAGCCCTGCACAGCTAGGAGGAGGCGGAGGAGGAGGGGAAGCAAGGCAGGGAACAGGCATGAGTCGAGTACTCGTAAGAAGGGGTAACGAGAGGAAGAGGATCACCTTAAATTGGGGAGGCGAGGTGGCGGCAGGGTGGCAAGCTGAGGTCGCAAGGGCACGGCGGCACACAGGCTGACTGCCATGTGGACGACCAGGAGGCGAGTGCGGTTGAGCTGCCCGTGGCCTCGGTTCCCAGCACGCCACGAGATGGACAGTGAAGGAGGTGCTGCCGAGCCCTCTCCTGTGGTTCCTTCCCACCTCATGCCAGCAGTAGTCGAGCCATCCATGCGAGAGGTGCCATCACCACGGCGAGCAGGCATCACCTGGGCGAGCAGGCATCACCTGGGCGAGCAGGCATCACCTGGGCGACCACGCATCACCTGGACAAGCAAGCATCACCTAGGCGAGCAGGCATCACCTGGGCGAGCAGGCATCACCTGGGCGAGCAGGCATCACCTAGGCGAGCAGGCATCACCTCAGCGAGTAGGCAATCACCTGGGCGAGCACGCATCACCTGGACGAGGAGGCATCACCTGGGCCAGGAGGCATCACCAGGGCAAGGAGGCATCACCTGGGCGAGCAGGCATCACCTGGACGAGCAGGCATCACATGGACGAGCACGCATCACCTGGGCGAGCAGGCATAACCAGAGAGAGCAGGAATCACCCGGACAAGCAAGCATCACCTGGGCGAGCAGGCATAACCTGGGCGAGAAGGCAGCAACCGGGCGAGAAGGCATCACCCGGGCGAGAAGGCATCACCTGGACGAGCAAGCATCACCTGGGCAAGTAGGCATCACCTAGACAAGCAAGCATCACCTGGGCGAGCAGGCATCACCTGGGCGAGCAGGCATCACCTGGGCGAGCAGGCATCAGCTGGGAGAGCACGCTCCACCTGGGCGAGGAGGTATCACCTGGTTGAGGAGGCATCACCCAGACGACGAGGCATCACGTGGGCGAGCAGGCATCACCTGGGCGAGCAGGCATCACCTGGGCGAGCACTCATAACCAGGGCGAGTAGGCAATCACCTAGGCGAGCACGCATCACCCAGGCAAGAAGGCATCACCCGGGCAAGCAGGCATCACCTGGACGAGCAAGCATCACCTGGGCGAGCAGGCATCACCTGGGCAAGGAGGCATCACCTGGGCGAGCACGCATCACCTGGGCGAGCACGCATCATCTGGGCGAGGAGGCATCACCTGGGCGAGCAAGCATCACCTGGGCGAGCAGGCATCACCTGGGCGAGCAGGCATCACCTAGGCAAGGAGGCATCACCTAGGCGAGGACGCATCACCTGGGCAGAAGGCATCACTCGGGCGAGAAGGCATCACCCGGGAGAGCAGGCATCACCTGGACGAGCAAGCATCACCTGGGCGAGTAGGCATCACCTAGGCGAGCAAGCATCACCTGGGAGAGCACACATCACCTGGACGAGGAGGCATCACCTAGACGACGAGGCATCACGTGGGCGAGCAGGCATCACCTGGGCGAGCAGGCATCACCTGGGCGAGCAGGCATCACCTGGACAAGCAAGCATCACCTGAGCGAGCAAGCATCAACTGGGCGAGCAGGCATCACCTGGGCGAGCAGCCATCACCTAGGCGAGCAGGCAATCATCAGGGCGAGCACGCATCACCTGGGCGAGGAGGCTTCACCTGGGCGAGCATGCATCACCTGGGCGAGCACGCATCACCTGGGCGAGCACGCATCACCTGGGCGAGGAGGCATCACCTGGGCGAGCAGGCATCACCTGGGCGAGCAGGCATCACCTGGGCGAGCAGACATCACCTGGACAAGCAAGCATCACCTGGGCGAGCAAGCATCACCTGGGCGAGCAGGCATCACCTGGGCGAGCAGGCATCACCTAGGCAAGGAGGCATCACCAGGGCGAGCAGACATCACCTGTGCGAGGAGGCATCACCTGGGCGAGCAGGCATTACCGGGGCGAGCAGGCATCACTTGGGCGAGGAGGCATCACCTCGGCGAGCAGGCAGACATCACCTGGGCGAGCAGGCATCACCTGGGCAAGCGAGCATCACTGGGGTGAGCAGGGATCGCCTGGGCGCGCAGACATCACCTGGGCACGCAGACATCACCTAGGCGCGCAGGCCTCACCTGGGCGAGGAGGCGTCACTAGGCATCAATAGGGCGAGCAGGCATCACCTGGGCGAGCAGGCATCACCTGGGCGAGCAGGCATCACCTGGGCAAGGAGGCATCACCTAGGCGAGGAGGACTCACCTAGGCGAGCAGGCATCACCCGGGCGAGAAGGCATCACCCGGGCAAGCAGGCATCACCTGGACGAGCAAGCATCACCTGGGCGAGCAGGCATCACCTGGGCGAGCAGGCATCACATGGGCGAGCAGACATCACCTGGACAAGCAAGCATCACCTGGGCGAGCAAGCATCACCTGGGCGAGCAGACATCACCTGGACAAACAGCATCACCTGGGCGAGCAAACATCACCTGGGCGAGCAGGCATCACCTGGGCGAGCAGGCATCACCTAGGCAAGGAGGCATCACCAGGGCGAGCAGGCATCACCTGTGCGAGGAGGCATCACCTGGGCGAGCAATTATCACCTGGACGAGGAGGCGTCACTAGGCATCACCAAGGCGAGCACGCATCACTAGGGCGAGCAGGCATCACCTGGAAGAGGAGGCATCACCTGGGCGAGGAGGCATCACCTGGGGGAGCAAGCATCACCTGGGCGAGTAGGCAATCATCTGGGCGAGCACGCATCACCTGGGCGAAGAGGCTTCACCTGGGCGAGGAGGCATCACCTGGGCAGGCACGCATCACCTGGGCGAGCACGCATCACCTGGGCGAGTAGGCAATCATCTGGGCGAGCACGCATCACCTGGGCGAAGAGGCTTCACCTGGGCGAGGAGGCATCACCTGGGCAGGCACGCATCACCTGGGCGAGCACGCATCACCTGGGCGAGCAGGCATCACCTCGGCGAGCAGGCATCACCTGAGCAAGGAGGCATCACCTAGGCAATACCTAGGCGAGGCGGCCTCACCTAGGCGAGCAGGCATCACCTGGGCGAGAAGGCATCACACGGGCAAGCAGGCATCACCTGGACGAGAAAGCATCACCTGGGCGAGCAAGCATCAACTGGGCGAGCAGGCATCACCTGGGCGAGCAACCATCACCTGGGCGAGCAGGCATCACATGGGCGAGCAGAGATCACATGGGCGAGGAGGCATCACCAGGGTGAGGAGGCATCACTTGGGCGAACAGGCAACACCTGGGCGAACAGGCATCACTTGAGCGAGCAGGCATCACCTGGGCGAGCAGGCATCACCTGGGCGAGCAGGCATCACTTGGGCGAGGAGGCATCACCTAAGCGAGGACGCATCACCTGGGCGAGGAGGCATCACCTCCGCGAGGAGGCATCACCTGGGCGAGGAGGCATTATCTGGGAGAGCAGGCATCACTTGGGCGAGGACGCATCACCTGGGCGAGGAGGTATCACCTCGGCAAGGAGGCATCACTTGGGCGAGCAAGCATTACCGGGGCGAGCAGGCATCACTTGGGCGAGGAGGCATCACCTCGGCGAGCAGGCAGGCATCACCTGGGCGAGCAGGCATCACCTGGGTGAGGACGCATCACCTGGGCGCGCAGGCATCACCTAGGCGCGCAGGCATCACCTGGGCGAGAAGGCGTCACCAGGCATCACCACGGCGAGCAGGCATCACCTGGGCGAGCACGCATCACCTGGGCAAGGACGCATCACCTAGGCGAGGAGGCATCACCTAGGCGAGCAGGCATCACCTGGGCGAGAAGGCATCACACAGGCGAGCAGGCATCACCTGGACGAGCAAGCATCACCTGGGCGAGCAAGCATCACCTGGGCGAGCAAGCATCACCTGGACAAGCAAGCATCACCTGGACGAGCAAGCAAAACCTGGGCGAGCAGGACATCACCCGGGCGAGCAGGCATCACCTGGGCGAGCAGGCATCACATGGGCGAGCAGGCATCACCTAGGCGAGCAGGCATCACCTGGGTGAGGAGGCATCACCTGGGCGACTAGGCATCACCTGGGCGAGCAGGCATCACCTAGGCGAGCAGGCATCACCTGTGCGAGCCCGCATCACTTGGGCGAGCACTCATCACCTGGGCGAGTAGGCAATCACCTCGGCGAGCACGCATCACCTGGGCGAGGTGGCATCACCTCGGCGAGCACGCAGGCATCACCTGGGCGAGCAGGCATCACCTAGGTGAGGAGGCATCACCTGGGCAAGCGAGCATCACCGGGGTGAGCAGGCATCACCTGGGCGCGCAGGCATCACCTAGGCGAGGAGGCGTCACTAGGCATCACCAGGGTGAGGAGGCATCACTTGGGCGAACAGGCATCACCTGGGCGAACAGGCATCACTTGAGCGAGCAGGCATCACCTGGGCGAGCAGGCATCACCTGGGCGAGCAGGCATCACTTGGGCGAGGAGGCATCACCTAAGCGAGGACGCATCACCTGGGCGAGGAGGCATCACCTCGGCGAGGAGGCATCACCTGGGCGAGGAGGCATTATCTGGGAGAGCAGGCATCACTTGGGCGAGGACGCATCACCTGGGCGAGGAGGCATCACCTCGGCGAGGAGGCATCACTTGGGCGAGCAAGCATTACCGGGGCGAGCAGGCATCACTTGGGCGAGGAGGCATCACCTCAGCGAGCAGGCAGGCATCACCTGGGCGAGCAGGCATCACCTGGGTGAGGACGCATCACCTGGGCGCGCAGGCATCACCTAGGCGCGCAGGCATCACCTGGGCGAGAAGGCGTCACCAGGCATCACCACGGCGAGCAGGCATCACCTGGGCGAGCACGCATCACCTGGGCAAGGACGCATCACCTAGGCGAGGAGGCATCACCTAGGCGAGCAGGCATCACCTGGGCGAGAAGGCATCACACAGGCGAGCAGGCATCACCTGGACGAGCAAGCATCACCTGGGCGAGCAAGCATCACCTGGGCGAGCAAGCATCACCTGGACAAGCAAGCATCACCTGGACGAGCAAGCAAAACCTGGGCGAGCAGGACATCACCCGGGCGAGCAGGCATCACCTGGGCGAGCAGGCATCACATGGGTGAGCAGGCATCACCTAGGCGAGCAGGCATCACCTGGGTGAGGAGGCATCACCTGGGCGACTAGGCATCACCTGGGCGAGCAGGCATCACCTAGGCGAGCAGGCATCACCTGTGCGAGCCCGCATCACTTGGGCGAGCACTCATCACCTGGGCGAGTAGGCAATCACCTCGGCGAGCACGCATCACCTGGGCGAGGTGGCATCACCTCGGCGAGCACGCAGGCATCACCTGGGCGAGCAGGCATCACCTAGGTAAGGAGGCATCACCTGGGCAAGCGAGCATCACCGGGGTAAGCAGGCATCACCTGGGCGCGCAGGCATCACCTAGGCGCGCAGGCATCACCTAGGCGAGGAGGCGTCACTAGGCATCACCAGGGCGAGCAGGCATCACCTAGAAGAGGAGGCATCACCTGGGGGAGCAACCATCACCTGGGCGAGAAGGCATCACCTGGGCGATAAGGCATCACCTGGGCAAGGAGGTTTCACATGGGCCAGGAGGCATCATCTACAAGAGCAGGCATCACCTGGGCGAGCACGCTTCACCTGGGCTAGAGAACATCACCTGGGTGAGGAGGCATCACCTGGGCGGGAAGGCATCACCTCGACGAGGAGGCATCAGTTGGGCGAACAGGCATCACCTGGGTGAGGAGGCATCCCATGGGCGAGGAGGCATCACATGGGAGAGCAGGCATCACCCGGGCAAGGAGGCATCACCTGGGCAAGGAGGCATCACCTGGGCGAGGAGGCATCACCTGGGCGAGGAGGCAATATCTGGGCGAGCAGGCATCACCTAAGCGAGGAGGCATCACCTGGGCGAGGAGGCATCACCTGGGCGAGGAGGCATCACCTGGGCGAGGAGGCATCACCAGGGCGAGGAGGCATTATCTGGGCGAGCAGGCATCACCTGGGCGAGGACGCATCACCTGGGCGAGGCATCACCTCGGCGAGGAGGCATCACTTGGGCGAGCAGGCATCACTTGGGCGAGGAGGCATCACCTCGGCGAGCAGGCAGGCATCACCTGGGCGAGCAGGCATCACCTGGGCGCGCAGACATCACCTAGGCGCGCAGGCATCACCTGGGCGAGGAGGCGTCACTAGGCATCAATAGGGCGAGCAGGCATCACCTGGGCGAGCAGGCATCACCTGGGCGAGCAGGCATGACCTGAGGAAGGAGGCATCACCTAGGCGAGGAGGCATCACCTAGGCGAGCAGGCATCACCTTTACGAGCAAGCATCACCTGGGCGAGCAGGCATCACCTGGACAAGCAAGCATCACCTGGACGAGCAAGCATCACCTGGGCGAGCAGGCATCATCTGGGCGAGCACACATCACCTGGGCGAGCACGCATCACCTGGGCGAGGACGCATCACCTGGGCGAGGACGCATCACCTGGGCGAGCAAGCATCACGTGTGCGAGCAGGCATCGCATGGGCGACCAGGCATCACGTGGGCGAGCAGGCATCACCTGGGCGAGCAGGCATCATCTGGGCGAGCACGCATCACTTGAGCCAGCACTCATCCCATAGGCAAGTAGGCATCACCTGGGCGAGCAGGCATCACCTGGGCAAGGAGGCATCACCACGGCGAGCAGGCATCACCTGGGCGAGGAGGCATTACCGGGGCGAGCAGGCATCACTTGGGCGAGGAGGCATCACCTCGGCGAGCTGGCAGGCATCACCTGGGCGAGCAGGCATCACCTGGGTGAGGAGGCATCACATGGGCGAGGAGGCATCACCTGGGAGAGCAGGCATCACCTAGGCGAGAAGGCATCACCTGGGGGGAGCAAGCATCACCTGGGCGAGGAGGCATCACCTGGGCGAGGAGGCATTTTCTGGGCGAGAAGGCATCATGTGGGCGAGGACCCATCACCTGGGCGAGGAGGCATCACCTCGACAAGGAGGCATCACTTGGGCGAGGAGGCATTACCGGGGCGAGCAGGCATCACCTGGGCGAGGAGGCATTACTGGGGCGAGCAGGCATCACTTGGGCGAGGAGGCATCACCTCGGCGAGCAGGCAGGCATCACCTGGGCGAGCAGGCATCACGTGGGTGAGGAGGCATCACCTGGGCAAGCGAGCATCACTGGGGTGAGCAGGGATCACCTGGGCGCACAGGTATCACCTAGGCGCGCAGGCATCACCTGGGCGAGGAGGCGTCACTACGCATCACCAGGGCGAGCAGGCATCACCTGGGCGAGCAGGCATCACCTGGGCGAGCCGACATCACCTGGGGGAGCAAGCATCACCTAGGTGAGCAGGCATTACCTGAGCGAGCAAGCATCACCTTGGCGAGCAGGCATAACCAGGGCGAGCAGGCATCACCTGGGCGAGGAGGCATCACCTGGGCGAGCAGGCATCACCTAGGCGAGCAGGCATCACGTGGGCGAGCAAGAATCACCTGGTCGAGCAGGCATCACCTGGGCGAGTAGGCATCTTCTAGGTGAGGAGGCATCACCTGGGCGAGCAGGCATCACTGGGGCGAGCAGGCATCACCAGGGCGAGCAGGCATCACCTGTGCGAGCAGGCATCCCGTGAGCGAGCAAGCATCACCTGGGCGAGTAGGCATCACCTAGGCGAGCAGGCATCAGCTGGGTGAGGAGGCATCACCTGGGCGAGCAGTCATCACCTGGGCGAGCAGGCATCACCTGGGCGAGAAGGCATCACCTGGGCGAGGAGGCATCGCCTGGGCAAGGAGGCATCACCTGGGCGAGCAGGCATCACCTGGGCGAGCAAGCATCACCTGGGCGAGGAGGCGGAGGGCGTGCGGCAGAAGTAGCCAGAAGTGCGCCTCGTGGATGTCCCCGTAGTGCGCCGCCACACACGCACACCGCGCTGCCACGCCGTCCCCACACACCTTGGAGTACGCCCTCGCCGCCTCCACCCCCATCAGCTGGCCTGGGGGGGGGGGGGGGGACGAGAACAAGGGAGACGAGCAAGTGAGGTGCTGCAAGAGAGTCGTGAGATGGCATCAAATTCAAGGCATTGCTAGTGCTCGAATTGCACTCACACCAGGGTGTGTGGTGCGAGGGCGACAGTACTTGCGATGGGTGTGTGGTACGACTCACGAGGGCGAGAGTACCTGGCATGGGTGTGTGGCACGACTCACGAGGGCGACAGTACCTGCCACGCGCATTGGCTGCAGCCCCTTGAGCAGCACCTCTGCCATGGCGGGGTCTCCCACATTGCCTGGAAGCTCCCCCATGTGCAGCAGGTTTGAGAGCAGATCGCGCGTGGATGTGTCATCCTCCCCCTCGCCCTCCTCGCCCATGTCGCCCTCCCCACCGCCCGGCAGCGGCGCCTCCAGCCACACGGGGTGCACGCCCATCTGCAGCAGCAGGCGCAGCGCCTGGCACAGGGGGAGAGCACAGGGAGGTGGGAAGGGCGGGAGGTGGGGAGAGGACGGGGAGGACCAGCAAGGAGAATCTGGGGGAAAGGCCCTTTTTGGGAGGGCCAAAGATATGAGAAAGAAGTCAGGCTGAGAGACGGGAGTTGAGCGGTTGACGGGGTGACTGGATATTCAATAGTCCTGTTTTATATGCAGCAGCAAGACCTGCTAGCAGCGTGGAGAGGGCGCTTCAAGCCGTGGCATGCCTACCAGAGCAGAGCACCTAGCACCCAGCCATGCATGATGCTGGGAGCAGAGCAGTTGCCAAGTGGCAGGCGGCAGGGCAGGGCGGCAGCACGCACCAGGGCGCAGGGCGCGGGCATGAGGGCGACGGAGCAGAGGGGCGAGGGGCGGAAGCGGTGCCACACGGCGAGGCGCGAGGCAGGCGGGCGGTAGAAGGGCTGCTTCAGAGGGGCGTTGCTGGGGGGGGTGGGGCGGGATTGGAATTGGGAGGAGGCGAGGGAGGAGAAAACGTTGTCTGTGAGACATGAGAGCACACACAGGGGTTGCTTCATGAGCACACGCGGGGGCTGCTTTTATGAGTATGCCACATTCCCTTCACCATACGATGTGACCCGGCCTCCACCATGGCACCCCACCCCACCACGCCATGCCCCTCTCCCCTCTCACGTGTTGATCTCCAGCAGCCGGATCGTGCCGTCCGCAGCGGCGGCGCACAGCAGCTGGCGGGCGGCGGACTGCCCCAGGGGCGAGGGGCCTTGCAGCGGCAGCCAGTCCATCTCCAGCACCTGCAGCGCCGCCGCCGCCTCCCACGGCAGCGCCGCCGGCACAAACTCGCCCTCGTCCTGACAGGGGTCGGTCATGGGGGAGGTGGGTGTAGAGGGGGAGTTGCGACGATAGAGGGCGGATGGGGGTGGACTGAAAGGGCAAGACGGTGGGGAGCGAATGGAGAGCATGCAGCACAAGGAGAAGAGGTCGCACGGGCAGCAGCAACCAAGTACCACCATGCAGGTCAAAGAGCGCTGACCAGGTCACAGAGCGCTGACCAGGTCAAAGGCGCTGACCAGGTAAAAAAACGCTGACCAGGTCAAAGAGCGCTGACCAGGTCAAAGGGCGCTGACCAGGTCAAAGAGCGCTGACCAGGTCAAAGAGCGCTGACCAGGTCAAAGAGTGCTGACCGGGTCAAAGGGCGCTGACCAGGTCAAAGGGCGCTGACCAGGTCAAAGAGCGCTGACCAGGTCAAAGAGCGCTGACCAGGTCAAAGAGCGCGAAGGAGTAGTCGTGGAACATGACGGCAATCCGACCGCAGCTGCTGGAGCTGACAAGGGTGGGGGCGAATCTGAGCCGTCGGATGGCCCCTCTGTTGAGCGCGTGTGTGCCTGCCGCCCCTGACACCACGTCCCACCAGCGCAGCACCCCCGCCTTGTCGCCCAGCGCCTGGGGGGGGGAGGGGGGAGAGAGGGGAGGAGAGAGGGGGGAAGAGAGTGGGGGGGGCGAGAACAGCACGGCAGCGCCTTCACTAGGTCATTGGGTGGCACGTCCCATGAGCTCTCGCAGTGGTGCTGGGCGCTGCACTGGTCAAGGTGCAGCACAAGCGCTGCGCGATGATTCCCACCACAGCTGGCGGGGATCGGAGCAAGACCATCTAGAAATGTGGCCCAGGCTGCAATCCATCTATACATTGCTCAAGATGTGGTTGAGATGTCACTGCATTGGTACTTGAAACGAAAGGTGTGACTCAGTAGTGATGCGGCTTGCTCTCAATTTCCAGCATGAGCAGGCCGCAGTACGCCATGGCAATCACCACCACGGGCGTGCGGTACGCCATGGCACTCACCACCACGAGCGTGCGGTACGCCATGGCACTCACCACCATGGGCGTGCGGTACGCACCACCACGGGCGTGCGGAACGCCATGGCACTCACTACCACGGGCGTGCGGTACGCCATGGCACTCACCACCACGGGCGTGCGGTACGCCATGGCCGTCACGAGCACGTCCACCGCCACGAACGACGCTGACGGCCACTTGGGCCTGCGGACGGGAAGGGGGTGCGGGGAGGTATGGAGGCACACAAGACAAGTAGAGTTGTAAAGAAGAAGCTGCGACTCATCTCGAAATTGTAGGAGTCTTGGGTATTCGTTGGAGGAGGAAATTACTAGGAACTCGCGATGGATACCGGAATTACGAGATTCAGCGTGCAAGGTCACTAAACGCCTCCCTAGCCGCACATTCCCTTCGAGTCAACGCGTACACTCGAGTCGAGTCCGCTCAACTCCATTCGAGTCGGTTGACTCGCCGACTCGACTCGACTCGACTCGGGTCAAGTCGAACGAAGAAAAAGCCCAACTCGGCTTGACCAAAAGTCGAGTCGGCGAGTCAAGTCGAATCACGAGTGGCATTGTCATGTGTACGAGTGGCATGGTCATGTGTACATTGAAGGAAGTAGCTTAGAGGAGAAAGGATTGAATTGAGTAGGGAGCCAAGAGGCTCTATTGTACAAAACAAGGAGCAAGGAAGAGTTGGAAGAAAAGCTCTCCTATTGGCCATAAAGTGGACCAATGAGAGAGGTTGCTTGTAGGGCAAGCAACCACAAAGTGCGGTGCTCTTCGATTGGCCACAATGTGGACCAATGGGAGAGGTTGCTTAGAAGGCAAGCAACCACAAAGTTTGGTGGTTGGTGATTGGTTGGTTCTTAGGACCAAGGACCATTTGGTTGGAATAGTGCCAACCAAATGTCTAAGACCAGACCCCTGTGAGCTGCGACGATCGGGCTGAGAATCTGCTCAAGAGGAGTCGCTGTAGCCAGTGAGCTGAGGAGGGGTGGGGCCACCCAAGGTGAGGACATAGTCCTTGGTGCCTTTGATGTAGCGGAGAACGCGCTTGGCTGCTTGCCAGTGCTCGGGAGTGTGTTTGCCAGCGCCGACAAAGCGCGCCAGGACACTAATAGGGTAGGCGAGGTTTGGGCAGGTGCACATCATGGCGTACATCAGGGACCCGACCAGCTCTGCGTAAGGACTGGTGGAGGAACCTTGGGTGTAGGGTTGAGCAAACTACCCGCCCGGGTCGGGTACCCGGTACCCGGACCCGCTTTTAGGGCGGGTCGGGTATCGGAAATCCTGAAAATTACCCGGCGGGTCGGGTCCGGGCTACCCGGGCCGGGTATCAATACCCGCTACCCGAAATGCTACCCGACGTGTCGGGTAACGGGTACCCGACCCGGTCGGGTAAAAAATTACCCGAGGTCGGGTATTCCACCTAGACATGGGCGTAAGTCGCGCTGTGTTTTAGGTTTTGTGGCAAAAACGGTTTTGGAGGTGAGGGGGGACGAGTGGAGCATTTGTGAGGAGAAGTTGGAGTTTGTAGATGGGGAGGAGTTAAGTGCGGTGAAAGGGAGGGAGTTGGGTGGGAGTTGGAGAAGAGGTTGGAGTTTGTAGATGGGTAGGAGTTCAGTGCGGTGAAAGGGAGGGAGTTTTGTTGGAAATGTTGGAGTTCGTAGACAGGGAGGAGTTCAGTGCGGTGAAAGGGAGGGAGTTTGGTTGGAAATTGGAGTTTGTAGAGGGGGAGGAGTTCAGTGCGGTGAAAGGGAGGGAGTTGGGTTGTCAAAATTCGACCCCCAGGAAATGCGACTCTCATTTGAGAGTCGCGTTTTCAGGAACCCTACCTAGCCTAGCCCAACTTTAGAATATCCACTAGTAGGTGGCGGGTAGTATTACCCGCTTTTCAGGGTCACCGGGTCGGGTATACCCGGACCCGCCAGGCGGGTATTGTATTACCCGCCCCTTAAGGCCGGGTCCGGGTAAGGGTCCTGGGCATATTACCCGACCCGGACCCGACCCGAAATTACCCGACCCGAGGTCGGGTATTGCAAAACCGGGTCGGGTCGGGTAATTACCCGGTTTTGCTCAAGCCTACTTGGGTGGATGTTGGCGAGAGCTGGTGGCCGACTTGGAGGGGTGTGGAGACGGTTTTGGCCGTGGCCATCTCGAAGGGTTCACGGACCTTCTCGAGGTAGAATGCCTGAGAGGGGAGATGGTCTTGGCCGCACAATCTCGAGAAATCTCCATCCCGAGGTAGTTGCGGACCTCCCCCAGGTCCTTGCAGAGGAGGCGCTTCTGCAGCTCAACCTTGACTTGTTGTAGGTCTGCTTCGTTGTCTGCGGCAAGAAGCATGTCGTCGACGTAGACGAGGATGTAGAAGGGGGAGGGGGAGGTGCGCAGTAAGAGGCAGGAGGAAGCCTGGGAAGGGCGAAAACCAAGAGCACGAAGAGTGCTTGAGAGCTTGGCATGCCATTCCCGAGGAGCTTGCTTGAGGCCGTAGACCGGGCGGCGAAGTTCCCAAACGGTGTTGGGAGGGAAAGGGAGGTGCCAGCCCTCGGGACGCTCCATGAAGATGCGCTCATGGAGTTCACCTTGGAGAAATGCCGTGGTGACATCCATCGAGTGCAGGATCATGCCGCGCCGGCCGACGAAGTCCAGGAACACACGGACGACAGGGGGAGTGGCGGTCGGCGAGTAGGTGTCAAGGAAGTCATGGCCGTACCACTGCGTGAATCATTTGGCGCAGTAGCGGGCCTTATAGACTGGGTCGTCGCCAGGGAGAAGCTTGACCCGAAATACCCATTTGCCCGTGACCACGTTGTGGTTGAGAGGGTGGGGTACGTCGATGAAGGTGACGTTGCGGACAAAGGCCTCATTCTCTTTGAGGACTGCCTTGCCCCAATGAGGGTGGTCGGGGCAAGTCATAGCTTCGTGATAATCTTCCGGCTCGAAGATGATGGGCGCACTGGAGAAGACAAGAACCAGGGCGCCGGTCATGCTGAAGGCGACTGCTTGGGTGTTGGAGAAGAGGTGGAGGCGAAGAAATTCACCATGGAAGACAATGGTGATACCGGCCTGCTGCAGGGATCGCTGGGAGTGGAGGTTAGTACGGAGGGAGGGGATTTGTAAACCAGTGACGGTACCTGAGGGGAAAAGGGGACAGGGGAGGGTAGAGGTGTGACGACAGGGAATAGAGAGCTAGAATCGGCACCAAGGAAGGAGGTGGGGGCTGGGAGAGGGTGAAGGATACCAGCATCACAAAGGACTGACTCGGTGGCTCCACTATCAAGGACAAAGTCCAGCGTGGTGGAACGGGGAGGATGTGGGGGAAGAGGTGGGACAGAGTACTGAATCACATTCTCATTAATGGCAGCCGAATACATAGAAGGGGCAGGGGTTCCTGCCTGACTAACCATGCCAACAAAACCAGAGGAGGGGAAAGGAGTCACACTGCCTGTGGCTGAAGGCGTACGAGACGCGCCCGAGAGGTGAGCTGCGGAAGCGGCGGTTCCGGCGGTCCAAGCGGGGTAGGGCTGCTGGGGGGGAGCCATAGGAGGAGGTGCAAGGGGGAGCTGCGACTGGAGGTCAAGCTGCTGCTGCAGCTGGGAGAAGAGGTGCTGCTGCCCCTGCTGCTGCAGCTGCTGGAACTGCTGCTGCTGCTGCTGAAACTGCTGCTGTGGTTGAAACTGCTGCGGCAGGATCTGCTGCGGAGTCTGCTCCTGCTGCTCTTGCTGAGAGACAGCCTCGTGGGTCAAGGGGGAGGAGACGGGCTGGTAGAGAGGGGAGGTACGAACCTCTTGAGGAGTGGGGCGAGGAGTGAGGGAGGACCAACGGGGGGGGGTGCCGGTGTTGCCGCGAGCAAACCACTCATCACTGAGCGCTTTGAAGCAAGTATCAGTGGCATGACTGGTCTAGCCGCAGCGCTGACCCCGCGTGGGGCCATAGCGAGGGAGATACTGACAAGGAAGAAAGGCAGCTGCTGCACCACGTCCTGCGCCACTGCCACCACAACCCGCACCACCACCACGACCAACGCCACGCCCACCCCCACGCCCTCCCCTAGTGTTGTGCTGCTGAGCAACAGCGGCAGCTGAGGAGGAATGGCGCAAGAGGTCGGCCTCGGTGGTGATAATCCACTGGGCGACTTCAGCCGGGGTGATGCGCTTGTCGATCAGCTGCATGTAGGCGATCTTATGGGTGTCAAAGGCAGGAGTCAAGCCTTCAAGGAGGTGGCAGCAAAGCACCGGTGGGAGGAGGAGGTGGGAGCAAGCTCCCGCTTGAGGGTAGGGGGAATGGTGGCGAGGAGGATGGTGAGCGCACGCCAGTCAGCAACACGCCAGGCGGCGGAGCGGTGATGTATGCGCGCTCGCGTCTGGCGTACTCTACGAGCGCCGCCTGGTACGTGTTGTAGGCGGCAGTGGCGACGTCCTGCTCGGCACGGGAAGCCTCGTAGAGCAGCTGCTGGCGGACGTGGTCCGTGAGGCCGACACGGTAGGTGCGGATGGCGGTCTCGGAGCTCTAAGGGTCGTTGACGTAAGGGGCGAAGGTTGGAGGATCGCCGGGGCTGACGGGAGCATCGCCAGGAGGAGGAGGTGCAGGGCCCGTGGGAGCATCCGGCTGGGCAGGCTGAAGACCGTGCTCCTCGAGATGGACAACAGCTTTCAGGTTGTAGCCGTTGACCGTCACCGAGGAGAGAAGCACCGTGACGGTTTGGGCATAGGAATGCCAATTGACCGCGGTGTTGTCGGGCAGAAGCTAGACATGGGCATGAGCCGAGCCTGGCTTTGCTCGACTCGTTTGGGGTCGAGCCGAGCCGGCTCGCCGGTCGAGCCAGGTCCTTGGCCGGGTAGTCAGGATCCCCGGCTCGGCTCGTGAACATGGGGTCGAGCCGGGGCCGGCTCGCCGGCGAGACGGCTCGGCTCGGCTCGTCAGGGGGGCTTGTGCGGGCTCACAATTTGGACCACGGGGTTTGGGGTCTCTAGTATAGGGGATAATCCAGATTGTTTAGCTGATCGTCTGCTCCTACATCTTACAAAACTATCAGTAGATGCCTGTTTAAATATGGCTGGCTGAGGTCGATAGACTAGCGCGACAGGGTGAGGTTAGGGTTGGCAGACAATATTGGCGCGTGGGGGGGGAGGGGGGTTGTCGATCTGAAATTTGACAGTCGCGAAACCCCCCTTTCCCTAGCCAAGAGCCAACTGGCTCGAAATCGAGTCAGCTCGAACCGGCTCGACTCCAGCTCGCCTGATTTCACATGCGCGAGCCGAGCCGAGCCGCCGGCTGGAGTCGAGCCAGGTACCAAAAAAGAAGGCTCGACTCGCCTTTAAGGCAAGCCGAGCGGAGCCGAGCCAGGTGTGGCTCGGCTTGTGCCCATGTCTAGCAGCAGCTCAAGAGCGTCGACGGAGGTAAGGTCCACCGAGGCATCGGACGCCATTGAGGAGGAGGGGAAGGAAGGGGAAGAGGAGGAAAAGGAAAGGAGGAGGAAAAGGAAACGAGGAGGAAAAGGAAAAGATGAGAAGGAAAGGAGGAGGAGAAGGGGGAGGGAGGAAAAGAGCAAGTGCGCGGAGCGCAGCTCTTAAGTCGCCGAAATGGCGCGACGAACGGGTGCACGCGACACCGGAATCGACGACACGCGGGCGCGCGCGGCGGAGAAATCGATGACGGGTGCGCGCGCGCGACGGCAGAATCGGCGATGGGTGCGAAGAGCAAGGGCGCGACAGGAGGATTCGTCGACGGGCGTGCACGGGAGCCATGTAGAACGGGGGCGCGGAGAGCGCGACGGATGGGTGCGCGCAAACGCGGAGGGCGCACGACGAGAGGGCGCGACGACGGGCCGCGCGGCGGAGCGCAACAGGGGGCGCAAGAGGAGGATGCGACGGGCAGAAGCGCGTCGACAAGCGCGACGGCAGGCGCACGACGTAAGGGAGAGCGGGCGCGACGGAATAGCGCGGCGGAAGAGGGCGCACCGGTGGCGCGGGGAGTAGCCTGAGGAAGGGCTCGGCTTTGAAGACGAGGAGGGACGGCATAGGGCCGTGCTAGTTAGGATCTACTAGAGGTGGCGTGAGTCATTGTGGCTCTGATTACCATGAAGGAAGTAGCTTAGAGGAGAAACGATTGAATTGAGTAGGGAGCCAAGATGCTCTATTGTACAAAACAAGGAGCAAGGAAGAGTTGGAAGAAAAGCTCTCCTATTGGCCATAAAGTGGACCAATGAGAGAGGTTGCTTGTAGGGCAAGCAACCACAAAGTGTGGTGCTCTTCGATTGGCCACCATGTGGACCAATGGAAGAGGTTGCTTGGAAGGCAAGCAACCACAAAGTGTGGTGCTTGGTGATTGGTTGGTTCTTAAGACCAAGGACCATTTGGTTGGAATAGTGCCAACCAAATGTCTCAGACCAGATCCAATCTTGACCATCCCAAATGTGGGGCTGGTCAACCCAACCAACAACCCCCCAATAATTATAATGCCTACACCTCCTAATCTAGGCATGCATGTTGTATAGATATATATTTTACAACATACATGGCATGGTCATGTGTACATGGCATGGTCATGTGTACGAATGGCATGGTCATGTGTACGTGGCATGGTCATGTGTACGAGTGGCATGGTCATGTGTACGAGTGGCATGGTCATGTGTATGTGGCATGGTCATGTGTACGTGGCATGGACATGTGTATGTGGCATGGTCATGTGTACGTGGAAGAATGAGTCAAGTGGAAAGGGCGCGCCTTGATATGGAGGCACGGCCCACCTGAAGTCGCGGACTCGCTTCCCTCGGAGCTCGAAGACGCCCAGCGACCCGTTGACCAGCGCAAAGGCAAACGACTCGATGGGGTCCGACGCCGACCGCGGCGTGGCCGCCAACAGCGCCGCTGACGTGGGCGACGAAGGGAAGTCGTCGTCTGGGGGGGCGTTGATAGAGAGGAGGGGCGCGCATAAGGTGGTGTGCCGTGTAGCATGACGAGGGCAGTGGGGGCAAAGGCCAGCACATGGCACGGAAACTGCTCAGGAAGACGTCCAAGCAGCCATGCAATGCACCGTGTGGCACACGATGAGCTGTGCAACACGATGTGCTGTGCAACAGGATGTGCTGTGCATCACGATGTGCTATGCAACACGATGTGCTGTGCAACACGATGTGCTGTGCATCACGATGAGCTGTGCAACACGATGTGCTGTGCAACAGGATGTGATGTGCAACACGATGTGCTGTGCAACACGATGTGCTGTGCATCACGATGTGCTGTGCATCACAATGTGCTGTGCATAACGATGTGCTGTGCATCACGATGTGCTGTGCATCACGATGTGCTGTGCATCACGATGTGCTGTGCAACACGCTGTGCTGTGCAACACGATGTGCTGTGCAACACGATGTGCTGTGCATCACGATGTGCTGTGCATCACGATGTGCTGTGCATCACGATGTGCTGTGCATCACGATGTGCTGTGCATCACGATGTGCTGTGCATCACGATGTGCTGTGCATCACGATGTGCTGTGCATCACGATGTGCTGTGCAACACGATGTGCTGTGCATCACGATGTGCTGTGCAACACGATGTGCTGTGCAACACGATGTGCTGTGCAACACGATTTGCTGTGCAACACGACGTGCTGTGCAACACGACGTGCTGCGCATCACGATGTGCTGTGCAACACGATGTGCTGTGCATCACGATGTGCTGTGCAACACGATGTGCTGTGCAACACGATGTGCTGTGCATCACGATGTGCTGTGCACCACGATGTGCTGTGCAACACGATGTGCTGTGCAACACGATGTGCTGTGCATCACGATGTGCTGTGCATCACGATGTGCTGCGCATCACGATGTGCTGTGCAACACAACGTGCTGTGAAACACGATGTGCTGTGCATCACGATGTGCTGTGCATCACGATGTGCTGTGCATCACGATGTGCTGTGCAACACGATGTGCTGTGCATCACGATGTCCTGTCCATCACGATGTGCTGTCCAACACGATGTGCTGTGCAACACGATGTGCTGTGTATCACGACGTGCTGTGCACCACGATGTGCTGTGCATAACGATGTGCTGTGCATCACGATGTGCTGTGCAACACGATGTGCTGTGCAACACGATGTGCTGTGCATCACGATGTGCTGTGCAACACGATGTGCTGTGCAACACGATGTGCTGTGCATCACGATGTGCTGTGCATCACGATGTGCTGTGCAACACGACATGCTGTGCAACACGATGTGCTGTGCACCACGATGTGCTGCGCATCACGATGTGCTGTGCAACACGATGTGCTGTGCATCACGATGTGCTGTGCAACACGATGTGCTGTGCAACACGATGTGCTGTGTATCACGACGTGCTGTGCACCACGATGTGCTGTGCAACACGATGTGCTGTGCAACACGATGTGCTGTGCATCACAATGTGCTGTGCATCACGATGTGCTGTGCAACACGACGTGCTGTGAAACACGATGTGCTGTGCAACACGATGTGCTGTGCATCACGATGTGCTGTGCAACACGATATGCTGTGCATCACGATATGCTGTGCAACACGATATGCTGTGCAACACGATGTGCTGTGCATCACGATGTGCTGTGCACCACGATGTGCTGTGCATCACGATGTGCTGTGCATCACGATGTGCTGTGCATCACGATGTGCTGTGCATCACGATGTGCTGTGCAACACGATGTGCTGTGCAACACGATGTGCTGTGCAACACGATGTGCTGTGCACCACGATGTGCTGTGCACCAGGATGTGCTGTGCACCACGATGTGCTGTGCACCACGATGTGCTGTGCATCACGATGTGCTGTGCATCACGATGTGCTCTGCATCACGATGTGCTGTGCAACACGCTGTGCTGTGCAACACGATGTGCTGTGCATCACGATGTGCTGTGCATCACGATGTGCTGTGCATCACGATGTGCTGTGCATCACGATGTGCTGTGCATCACGATGTGCTGTGCATCACGATGTGCTGTGCATCACGATGTGCTGTGCATCACGATGTGCTGTGCATCACGATGTGCTGTGCAACACGATGTGCTGTGCATCACGATGTGCTGTGCAACACGATGTGCTGTGCATCACGATGTGCTGTGCAACACGATGTGCTGTGCAACACGATTTGCTGTGCAACACGACGTGCTGTGCAACACGATGTGCTGAGCACCACGATGTGCTGCGCATCACGATGTGCTGTGCAACACGATGTGCTGTGCATCACGATGTGCTGTGCAACACGATGTGCAGTGCAACACGATGTGCTGTGCATCACGATGTGCTGTGCACCACGATGTGCTGTGCAACACGATGTGCTGTGCAACACGATGGGCTGTGCATCACGACGCGCTGTGAAACACGATGTGCTGTGCATCACGATGTCCTGTGCATCACGATGTGCTGTGCAACACAATGTGCTGTGCATCACGATGTGCTGTGCACCACGATGTGCTGTGCAACACGATGTGCTGTGCATCACGATGTGCTGTGCATCACGATGTGCTGTGCAACACGATGTGCTGTGCAACACGATGTGCTGTGCAACACGATGTGCTGTGCATCACGATGTGCTGTGCAACACGATGTGCTGTGCATCACGATGTGCTGTGCATCACGATGTGCTGTGCATCACGATGTGCTGTGCAACACAGCGAGACAATACGCTGCTTGACACACTGAAAAGAGAGGAACGGAGCAACGGAGCAACGGAGCACACAAGAAAACACTCAGCCCACTACAATCGCATGACTCATCCTGCCATGCATGTGTCATCCCACCATGCATGCATCACCGCACCATGCATGCAGCACCGCACCATGCATGCATCACCGCACCATGCATGCAGCACCGCACCATGCATGCAGCACCGCACCATGCATGCAGCACCGCACCATGCATGCATCACCGCACCATGCATGCAGCACCGCACCATGCATGCAGCACCGCACCATGCATCTGCCTCTGTGTGGCGGAGTGTGGGTCCAGCAGTGTGGGGCTGTGCACGGGCGGCAGGGCCCACTCCATCACGGTGAACGGCAGTGCCAGGGACCGAAGCTGGGGGGGGGGGGGGAGGAGGGACATGGGAAGTGGGATGGTGGGACGGATATCTCTCACATACGAAGTTCTTCCACAGTCGCGAGGAGGGTATCTTCCCTCCCCCATGCATCTCCAGTCATTCGTTTCATCTCAACACGCAAACCTACAATTCCATCTCACCTATCCCTGAAGCACAGGTGGTTCGCCCACCCCAAACCAGCATTCCGCCTCACCATCTGCGGGGTTCGCGTCATGGCCCACACTTCCGCCGGCGCATCGCGGAACAGAATCAGCAGGTACCTGATGGCACACGCCGACACGCATGCACGCAGAGAGAGGAACAAGGTAAAGAGTACGAAAGGGTACTGCAGGGGGTGTTGAGGGCAGCACAGCAATAAAGAGTGGGCGTGGTTGAAGGCTGGAGTCTTGAAAGCTGGCGTTTTCAGAAAAACTACCCGGGGTTTAAATCCCTCCCTTTCCGGCGCAACTTCAAGGTCGGCATCCCCATTGGCTGCCAGAGGGCGAGAGTCACCTGGCGGAGAGCGAGAGTCACCTGGCGGAGGGCGAGAGTCACCTGGCGGAGGGCGAGAGTCACCTGGCGGAGGGCGAGAGTCACCTGGCGGAGGGCGAGAGTCACCTGGCGGAGGGCGAGAGTCACCTGCCAGAGGGCGAGGCCCTGAGGCCGCGCATGGGCGACTTGTCGGGCTGCTGCAGCTGGCGGAAGGGACGCGACTCGCCGCTGCGGATGCATGTCACCAGCACACGGTTCTCGTACCCGCCACCCTTGGCCTGGGGGGACGTGCATAGGTGAGGGGAAGGCAGTGGTTGGTGTTGACGTGCAACGCAAGTGATGGGGACGCTTCGTCGCGTTCACTAGGCACAGGAGGCTTAGAAGCATGGACCTCCGTGCACTCACCTTCACCCCCCCGTTACTCACCTTCACCCCCCCGTTACTCACCTTGAAATCAATTATTTCCCCACTCTTACTTCCCCACTCTTACTTCCCCATTCTATCCCCTCCCCACACTCACTCCCCGCACCACACTCACTCCCCTCCCCGCGCTCACTCACTCCCCACCTGCACGCACCTCGGTGAAGGAGAAGGAGACGAGGCGCGTGTTGCCGAGCCAGCGCACGCCGCGCACCATGGAGTCGTGCAGGTGGAAGGAGGCGGCAATGGCGTGCACCGCCGTGTCCACCAGCTCAATGCTGCCCTCCTGCGTCGCCACCGCCACCAGCGGCACCGCTGCTGCTGGCAGCGACCCCGTCGCCGTGCTCAGGCCTGGGGGAGAGGTGCGTGACGGGGGGGGGGGGGGAGGGAAGAGAAGAGGAGGATAAGGGAGGGAGACAATGGGAGAGGGGAAATGAGTCACGGGAAGATGGACGTTCGTTCACCTGGTCACAGGGGTGAAGGTTGTGACCGTGCTCCCGAGCCCAGTTCGCTAGCCGTAACCGTCCCACGCAATTAGGAGAGGAAATACAGTACAAACGGACGTCACTGTAGTTAACGGAAAACGAACCTCGGGCAAATCACGACAAATTAACCACGTGCCCGTTGACATTGTAATGTCAACGGGCAACAGTAACATAAAAGGAGGATGCGCAGCTTCCATATGCTTACGAGGAAGCTGACTTTGTGTTTAAAACGTGGAGGGGAACACTTTTTGCTGGTCGAATCTGGTTGTCCATTGGCTGTCCATTGGCTGTCCATTGGCTGTTCTGAGCTGGTGGGGTTTGCAGACCACCCCCTCCATGGGTTCGCGAGGGGATCAGTTTTCCCTAGGAAAGACGTGAAAATGAGTGTTAGAGGGGATCAGTTTTCCCTAGGAAAGACGTGAAAATGAGTGTTAGAGGGGATCAGTTTTCCCTAGGAAAGACGTGAAAATGAGTGTTAGAGGGGATCAGTTTTCCCTAGGAAAGACGTGAAAATGAGTGTTAGAGGGGATCAGTTTTCCCTAGGAAAGACGTGAAAATGAGTGTTAGAGGGGATCAGTTTTCCCTAGGAAAGACGTGAAAATGAGTGTTAGAGGGGATCAGTTTTCCCTAGGAAAGACGTGAAAATGAGTGTTAGAGGGGATCAGTTTTCCCTAGGAAAGACGTGAAAATGAGTGTTAGAGGGGATCAGTTTTCCCTAGGAAAGACGTGAAAATGAGTGTTAGAGGGGATCAGTTTTCCCTAGGAAAGACGTGAAAATGAGTGTTAGAGGGGATCAGTTTTCCCTAGGAAAGACGTGAAAATGAGTGTTAGAGGGGATCAGTTTTCCCTAGGAAAGACGTGAAAATGAGTGTTAGAGGGGATCAGCGCACACAAGGGGGGAACGGAACTGTAGTGGTTGCCTCCGAACGAGGTCTTCTGGCTCCACCCATACCTTGCTGGTTGGTTCCCTCACAACGAGCCTCACGCTGGGTGCGCGAGCCTAAACCCAACCTAAGGCCCCAGTTGCGGCAAAAACTCCCTGACTGCAACCAACAGGGAACAAGTTTTGAGGCGCCTCAAACCTGCAACCAACAGGGAACAAGGCCCTAGCGAACTGGGCCCCGGTAAGAAGTGGTGGAGAGTGAATGGCGGAAGTGCAGTGAGGGGGAGACGGAAGGCGAGGGAACAGGGATGGAAGCAGTGGAAGGTGCATGTGTAGATCTGGGAGGCACCTGCAGCACCACGGGGCAGCACCTGATTCGGCAGCACCTGATTCGGCAGCACCTGATCCCTGTTCGGCAGCACTTTTGAAACCAGTGCGGCGGTTTCCAAAAACAGGTTTGGACGGGCTTAAAGCCCAACATCTCAAATTAGCCACATCGGAACTCGATTCTTAGGAGGCCTACCGAACCAGCGGAAACCTCGTCACAAATGCCCGCTCCCTCCCAACCGACCGGAAACTAGGCTGAGAGGGGTTTGACTTACGGCTGTAACTAACGAGGGGGAACCTTGATAAGATGTTCAACGCCCTCTCCGCCGGCACATCCGCGGAGCAAACGCCCAGCCAGCATACAGCAGCCCCGTGGTGGGAAGAAACAAGAGCCCAATGTCCGCTCTGGGGGCAATGTTGAAACGTTTTGTGTGTGCCCTCAGGCTACGTCGGGCATGCTCGAATTTCGTGCACCCGCTTCTGATTAATCCGGGGGCTGCCAAACAGGCCCCTGGGCACACACCTGGCACCTGCAGCAGCACGTGGGCGCACACCTGGCACGCAGGAGAAGAGCGAGGGCGCAGGCACGGAGAGTGTGGTGGGCGCGGACGAGAAGCCGTGGAACATCCCCAGCAACTCCAGCTGGGGGGGGGGACGCACGGCGAGAGGCAGGGGGGGGAGAGGGGGGGGCACATGTGCAGCGAAGGGAGGTGGGGGTGCAGCATGGGTGGGAACGGGGCAGTGATGCCACAGCACAGCAATGATGTAGTCCTGCCCCCATGGTACCTTCATCGACACCTCCACTCCATCACCAGCCCCACTCGCTCCTTCTCCAGCGCTCCCCTCTCCTGCCCCCCCTCCGCCTTCCCCACTCCCCCGTCCTCCCCTTGCCCCGCCCTCCCCGCCCTCCCCCTTCTCCGCGTCCCCCTGCGCGCCCTGCCCCCCTGCCGTGGGCGAGGTGCTGGCGAGCCAGTGCCAGAGCTTGCAGTCGTCGCTCACGCACACCACCTGGCAGCTGCTCACGCCGTGCGCGCTCACCCCCGCCGCCACGCCGCCGCCCAGGCTGCCGTTGGGGCGCGGTGTGGTCGCGGGCACGGCCTGCAGCACGAGCTGCGCCTCGCGGAACGGCTGCGGCCACAGCACCGCCGCCAGGATGCCCGGCGAGGGGGGCGCCGTGCCGGGCAGCGGCACCAGCGGCTCGACTGTGCGAATCACGTACAGCTGGCGGCCGCTGGGGGTGGGGAGCAGGCAGAGGAAGACATTGCATGGGGCATGGAGGCGGGAGGAAGGGGTTGAGCGGAAGTGATGGGGCAGCAGGAAGCAGGATTTGGTGAGGGACAGCTGTGAGCACAATGAGCCGCATTGCCTCGCCCCATCCTCTTGACTCCTCCCAACATCCCCTGCGCCCAATCTCACTGCCTCGTGTGCCAAGCCACGCAGCAAGGACTGTCGCAAGCAAGCAAGCAGCGAGGCGAAGAGCAAGAGATGAAGAAGTACCCGTCTACCACTGCTCGTACCTCATCCCCGCTCCCATGGGCAGCGTCCAACGAATCCCATACACCCCCTCCTTGATCTCGTAGCTTCATCCCCCAACACTCCCCCTTCCCCTCCCCGCCCCCACTCACGGTTTGCGCTGCCACATGGAGAGCTTGCCGTCGGCGTGGAGGCAGTACAGCACGTCGCTGCTGGGCGGCAGCAGCAGCCGCGTCAGGCGCGCCAGCGAGCGCGGCACGGCGCTGGACGCGACGGCGCAGCCGAAGTGGAGGTCGTAGCACACGATGTCGCGTGGCATCAGGGCGTACAGCAGGTCGCGCGTGTGCGGCGCGAACGCACACGCTATCACGGACGCCGAAGCCCCTCCCCCGCTGCCCTCTGGCAGCGGCAGCTGCAGCGTCGTCGACTTGATGCTCACACTCCGCTCCTTGCCCGCTACCCCCCCGCTACTCCCCCCGCCCCCCGTTCCCCCCACCCCCCCCTTGCCCGCGCCCCCCAGCGCGACGTGGAGCGCGAGGACGAGCCCCTTGGAGCCGTGCACGCACAGCCGCCGCGGGTCGTGATGGTCCGGCGCCAGCGACACCAGCAGCTCGCCCGTCGCCGACGCCGACCCGTCGTACCGCCAGATGACACGTGGCGACGCCGTGGCGGCCGTGGCGGGCGACGCCGTGGCGGCGGAGGAGGAGGTGAGGTCCCAGACGACGGCGGCGCAGCTGGCGTGCAGCACGGCCAGCAGCCACGGCCGCCCCAACACCCACTCCACCGCGTCCACCGACCCCACCGCCCCGCCGCCCCCCCCCTGCTCGAGCGCGCGGTCGGGCAGCAGCCAGCGGTCGACCTCCTCGCGCACCACCTCCCACACCGCCACGCGCCCCGCGCGGTCGCCCGCCGCCAGCTGCAGCGACGACAGGTGCGCCAGGTCGCGGTCCAGCCCGCCCGGCTTGAAGCGCGCCGCCGTCACCGGCACCACCACGCCCGCCGCCTCCGCCGCCCCCGCCGCGCCCGCAAGGCGGTCGGCGAGGGGCGGCGGCGCGACGAGCGTGTGCACGAGCTGCATGCTGGCGAGGTCGACGACGCTCACCGCGCACCCGCTGCTGAACGCCGCCAGCCCCTGCGGACTGCAGTCCAGCGCGCTCACCCCGTCCACCACCGGACCCGCCAGCGCGCCCGCCGCCGCCAAGGGGGCAGCCGCCGGCGACGCGTCCATGACCATCGGGGGAGGGGGAGAGGGCGGTGGGGTCGACGACGAGAAGGCAATGCGCGGCGACGGGAAAGAAAATAATGTGCTCCCGCGGGAAGTAACTACGCAATGGCGCTATACACGCGGAGATAGGTGATGCTTTAGAATGGCTCACGGTGGCGGAGGAACTACTCGACATGCATCTGGGTTCATGTCTGTCTCCTTGAGAGAATCACTCATGGCACACATGGCTGCCAAGGCACGTTCTCAGACTGAGCAAATTCATGCCCCGGTAGTAACTCGTCTCGTGGAACGCGTTGCAAATACAGTAACGTACAGAAAATCAACAGTCGGAGTTGTTTATGCCTTCTGGTTTGTATACTTCCTCATACATTAGGTTGTTACATTATCATACTCCCATCTTTCAAATTATGTGAATATCTGGGGGCATACCGTGAGTCCATTGGAATAAAGCTGGAGAATTATAACTTGGACTAGAGATGTTAGTGATTCGCTTGTAACTAATAGACAAGAATTGGAGACTAGACTGGATGATTCTCGGCACGGCCCGGCCATTGATGTGGCAGAGCCTCTTAACGCAGAAAGGAGTGACTACAATGAGGTGGTACAAGGGGATATACCCTAAGGGGTTGTGCCCTATATCAGCATGCACCTAGCTAGCCTATAACATATACAAATTATTATGTTGACACACCCCCTAGGCTAGACCAGGGGCAGCAACTAGCGCAAGACACGCAGCTCAGGGTGGCACTGCTAGTCCAACCTTTGAGGCAAGGGTCCGAAGACCAGTCAGCAAGAGTACCAACTAGACAAGTGTAACCCAGGGCGGCACTACCAGTCCAGCCACTGGAACAAGAGCCGATCAAGACAATATAAATAGTAGTACACAATAAGGGACCTAGCAAGTGAGAGGCTACAGGAACTAGACCAAGCTGTACACAGTGCCGGTGATGATCTTTAGGCGTAAATGACATCATAAAAATATCAGCAGTATTAGCACCTCAGGCCAAGTGTACTACGCGGGCCTGGCGGCACTGCTGCAACTCACGCAGGAGGAAGTACCGTAGCTGGATGTGCTTCGCTCTGCCCTCCAGTCGAGGCTCCTGATACGGGAGGATCATGGCCCTGTTGTCAGCGTACAGGACCGGGGCAGAGCTAGGCCGCTCACCTAAGTCTGTGAGCAAGAAATTCAACCAGCGAAGCTCCTATGCCGCCATGGCACCAGCGTAGATCTTGGCCTCGCAGCTAGACTGGGCAACAGACGATGAGTGGGTGGACCTCAACGAGATGGCGCCTGCACCATGTCTAAAGCAGTAGCCCTGGGAGGACGTCAGCGTCTCAGCGTCGTCCGCTCACGAAGTCTCTATGTGCCGTGTAGAACCACTGGCCTGCGTCCTCCTAGCACTAGCCACATGCCCAATGTACTTGCTGGATAACGCAAAACCCTCTTAGTTGCTGACCAGTGCTTTGGTCGGTGTCTGCCTGTCGCCACAAAGCGAGCCAGGATGCTGAGAGGGTATGCGAGATCTGGACGAGTGCAAGTCATCAGGTACATCAGGCAACCCACTAGCTCTGCGAAAGGACCACTAGGCTCTATAAACTCCTCAGGGACTGAGCCTGTGATCTGTTGGCAGAGGTGTGGGCTGTGCGGAGGAGAATTGAAGGGCGAACCACTGAAGGACCTGGCGCACTAAGTGTGACTGTGTGAGAGTGATGGTGCGCGCTGCTGTGTCCCTGAAGATCTGCAGGCCAAGGTAGCAGCGCAACTCTCCTAGGTCAGTGCAGGTGTGTCTCCTCAGCAGCTCTGCCTTCACGGAGGCCACTACGTCTCTGTCTGCAGTAGCAAATACTATGTCGTCTACGTAGACTAGGATGAAGTACAGGGCCTGACCAATACGAACAAAAAGTGAAAGGTCTGCAGACGTCGAGAAGAGCGGGCAATGACGAACGTGAGCAAGGCAGCCGGAGACGTGGAATGCGGACACGCCACCAGGTAACCTAGTCCAGAAAAGGGTCGGCAAAACCTGCCGCCGCTGGGAGTGCGGCCAAAGGTTAAGCTGGTGAGCGGCGTAGCGAACAACGAACGGCCACAGAAAATGGGGTGCACTGGCATGGATCATGGAGGTACGAGCCACCTCCATGACCAAGCTGATGCGTCGCTCAGCGACCCAATTCTGCTGCGGGGAGTTTGGCAGGGTGTATGCATGGGTGATGCCCTCCGCATGACAGAACTGTCCAAGCCGACCGGAGGCAAACTCGTCGCCACGGTTGGAGTGAAGATATAGCACAGGGATACCGCGGTGGACGCGTGCAGCTACGACCCACGGGATAAGAACGTCAGGCACGTCGACCTTCCGCTCCAGGGGAAACACCGTGGTATAGTGCGTGTAGTCATCGATAAGCACTAGAAAGTAGCGCTCTCAACGCGGCCCAGGGACGGGGGCTGGGCCGCAGACGTCCCGTTGTAGGGTCTGGAGTGGCGCGGTGGCAGGGCGAAGCGAGAAGGAATGAGGAGCATGGCACAGCCGGCCCTCGATGCAGGGCGTGCACGGTGGCGCAGGCGAGGGAGGGAGGGCAAGGAGCGACGCAGGGAGACCTAGGACAAGACCGTGCTAAGACATGTGACGCGGACGTGGGAGTGCGGGGTGACCTAGGCGGTGGTGCCACATAAGCGACGGGTGAGTGAGCGACCGACACGAGCAAGCCGCAGCGACCTGGGTAGACGTAGGTACCTGGGGGTTTGCCCCTACTAGGGGGGCGCGGTGTTGAGCGTAAACAGGTCAGATACCGGGTCCTGGGAGAACATGGTGAGGGGGGCACTAGTGGCAGCCTCGATATAGACCACGTAGCGCTCATGGCCAGGGAACGTAGTGATGACGCTGAGGTTCTGAAGGCAGCCGCCACCAACTAGATTCCAGGAGAATGAGGGGATGTGCAGGCCTGTAAGGGAGCCAAATGGAACCGCCAGACAGGGAAGGGTAGTGGAGCTACGTGCAACTACCGGACCGGAGGAGGGGTCAAAAGCGCGACAGTGGCGTGAGCACAGTGTGGTCGCGGAAGAAGCAGGCAGACGCACTAGAGTCATGCGTGAACGAGAGCGAAGTGGTAGCGGCAGCCGGCGGAGGGGCTGGTGTAGAGCCTAGGCTAAACAAGGCAGAAGGTCCTATGCCTAACAAAGCAGGGGAGCCTAGACTACACACAGGAGGCACACCTACACTAGGCAACACAAGGTAATAAGGTCCAGCTACACTAGAATCATCAGCATACATGGCATGCAAGGCAGAGCAAAGCTGATCCATATCCATCTCAAATACACGCACATGGCGACGCACCAGATTGGGCCAAATGGGAAGGTCCGGTGCAGGGCTGAAGCGGAGGCGGAAGAGATCATCTAGGCGGCGGAAGCAGCGGGCGGCAGTGTGACTGGTATGACCACACATAGTGCCGCGGAAGGGGCCGGTCTGGAGCTGGTACTGGCAATCAACATCGCCGAAGCTGCCACCCGACGCCGAGCTGCAAGGGCCGCCACCGCGGCCACTACCACCAGAGACTCCGGGCCTCCCCGAAGGGAGGCGGCCCTACTACTGCTGCTGCTGCGACTGCTGTTGCTGCTGAGGCTGCTGCTGCAGCTCCGGGGCACCAGACCCGGACCCCTTGTCGGAACCACCCTCCCCGCCCCCACCCCCACCCCCACCGCCCCCACCGCCCCCACCACCCTTCCCCCCGCCACGCCCCCCCTTGGGGCGGTGTCCCCTACCCTTGCGCGGCTGCGCTGAGGTCGCAACAGCGGTCTCAGCAAAACCCAGTCACTAACCTAGTCACTAACCACTCGGTTTAAAGGGCTTATTAGAGCCCGTGGCTATAATAGCAATCAAGAAGGCTGTTTAATTTGCTCTTGAACTTGGCACATGACTTGATCTTTAGAGTAAACGAAAAAGAATAAAAACATTTCGTTTTGCAAAGCGGAATCTGACCGTGGCGGTTTGGCGACCGTTTTTGCACGAAACCATTCGGTGAACAGTGCAATACGCGTCGTGCGACCAAATTCGTGGTTCCGTGAACAGTGAAAATGCGAGAAGAATAGTGTTGTTTGGCAAACAGTAGCTGATTCTGGAATTGCAGACCCGGAAATCACTTGAATTCCTCAATCATAAAGCGCCTGTATTTCCTCGTCGCAAGCTGCTCGCCCAAACCCGTCGTAGAAACTCCATGCGATGAACACAGTGTTTTTGCGCAATTCGCATCCAAATGATTGTGTCACAACAAACAGCAAAACGAGTTCTTTCGCCATTCCTCCAATCAGCAAGCTCGACCAGAATTTGTTTCGACGCACTTTTCTTGTTCAGGCTTGAACTCAAAGCTGCCTTCCATTCTATACTTAGACGGATTTCAAAGCACCAAATTCAAGTGGTTTCCAGGTCTGCTATTTTAGCCGCGGGCTTTAAGTAGCGGGTAAGTGCACCCATAACCCCCCAGGCTTTGCACCTGTAACCCTTCCCCGAGGACCAAGGGCAACCCCAGCGTGTATCATGACATCCCCCGTCGCTGGGATAGGCGGTATACACAAGCGCTTCTACAGCGCACACCTCCACGGTGCACACTGGGAATTGAACTCGGGTGGTCACCCAACTCTGATACCATCTAAACGTAGAAAGGAGTGACTAGAATGAGGTGGTACAAGGGGATATAAGTTAGAATAAGTGAATGAATTACTAGAGGGGAAATATGGAACTTATAGCAGTTGGGTTGTACTCACTAAGAGCACACACCGATACTAGCCTATAACTTCTACATGCATGATATGTATAAGTTGACACACCCCCTAGGCTAGAGAAGGGGTGGTGCAAGCAAGAAGCACACAGCTCAAGGTGGCACTACTAGTCCAACCACTGAGGCAGGGGTCCAAAGACCAGTCAGCAAGAGTACATGCAAGACAAAAGCAAGCCAGGGCAGCACTACTAGTCCAACCACTGGAGGTAAGGCCACAAGGCCAGTCACACAGGTATATATAGTAGAGAATACACAATCAGGGTCCTAACAAGTGGGTAGCTACAGGAACAAGACCAAGCTGTACACAGTGTCGCAGATGATCTTTAGGCGCAAGCGCCTTCGTAAAGATATCAGCAGTGTTGGCACCGGAGGCCAAGTGAACTACACGGGCCCGGCGACGCTGTTGTAGCTCGCGCAGGAAGAAGTACCGCAGCTGGATATGCTTCGCTCTGCCCTCAAGACGAGGCTCCTGACACAGGAGGATCATGGCCCTGTTGTCAGCGTACAGGACCGGGGCAGAGCTAGGCCGCTCACCTAAGTCAGTGAGCAAGAAGGTCAGCCAGCGGAGCTCCTGTGCCGCCATGGCACTCGCATAGATCTCAGCCTGACAGCTGGACTGAGCAACAGACGACGAGCGAGTGGATCACCAAGAGATAGCAACCGAGCCCAGGCTAAAACAGTAGCCCTGAGACGACCTAAGAGTCTTAGAGTCGTCTGCCCAAGAAGCGTCTGTGTGCCCTGTGAGGACCACTGGCCTGCGTCCTCCTAGCACTAACCCCATGCCCGATGTACTTGCTAGACATCGCAAAACCCTCTTAGCGGCCGACCAGTGTTGTGGTCGGTGTCTGCCAGTGGCCACAAAACGAGCCAGGATGCTGAGACAGTATTCGAGATCAGGGCGAGTGCAAGTCATCAGGTACATGAGGCAACCCACCAGCTCTGCGTAGGGGCCACTAGGCTCTACTGGCTCCTCAAGGAACGGGAGCGGAGAGCCCATGGTCTACAGGTAGAGGTGTGGGCTGTGCGGAGGAGAACTGAAGACCGAATCTCTGAAGGACCTGACGCACCAAGTGTGACTGTGTCAGAGTGATGGTGCGTGTTGCTCTGTCCCTAGAGATCTGCAGGCCAAGATAGCAACGCAGCTCTCCAAGGTCAGTGCAGGTGTGTCTCTTCAGCAGCTCGGCCTTCACAGAGGCCAGTGCGTCCCTGTCCAGGTCGTCTACGTAGATAAGGATGTAGAACGGAGTCTGGCCAGAACGCACAAACAGCGAGGGGTCAGCAGAGGACGGAAAGAACTGCAGGTCTGCTAACGTGGCACGCAGCGTATCGTGCCACTCGCGAGGAGCCTGACGCAGGCCGTAGACTGGGCGCCGGAGAAGCCACTGGGTCCCAGGGGGGAAGGTACCAGTGAAGCCCTGAGGTCGACGCATGTAGACCTGCTCGTGTAGGCTGCCCTGAAGAAAGGCAGTAGAGAAGTCGAGGGAGTGAAGCTCGTAGTCACGCTGTGCTGCTACGTGTAGCAGCGCCTGAAGAGTGGTCATCTTCGGGGTCGGGGCGAAGGTCTGGAAGAAGTCCACCCCCTCGCGCTGGCTGAAGCCTCTGGCCACGTAGCACGCCTTGAAGACAGGCGGCTCTCCAGAGGGGCGCTTCACCTTGAAGAGCCACCGACCATCGACTACGTTCACCCCAGGCGGGGGAACTGCGTCGACGTAAGTGCCGGTGGACCTCCAAGATGCCATCTCCTGCTCCATGGCAGCTATCCACTGAGAGGCCCAGGGTCCCGAGGTGGCCTCAGCGTAGGTGCGAGGGGTCGGGATGTCGAAGGCGTCTGGGTCACCCTCTGGGACTAGGAGCATGGAGCAGAGATGGGGAGCGGCCTCGGAAAGGAAAGCAAGCTCATACTGCCTGTCCTCTAGTACGTCACTGCCAAGGGCAGGTGCACCCCCGACGGACGCAGGACGGGCAGGGTCAGAGACCAGAGCGGTAGCGTAGTCAAGGCGGCAGGTAGAGGCAAAGTCAGCGACAGCAGCGACAAGCGTGTCAAGGCGAGAGACAGGAACAGACGGGTCTGGAACAAGAGAGGCAAGGACCCGAGGGACAAGGGGACGAGCGGCACGGAGGTAGTCAGACAGCGGGGGAGGTGCAACAACAAGAGATGAGGGAGGAGGCGAGGGGAGGAGGGGAGGATGAGATGAGTGAGAACGGAGTAACATAGGGTGGGAGCGCGGGACAGGGGAGACGGGACGAGCACGTGAGGGACGGCGAGACCAAAAGTGGGACGGAGGTGTAAGGTCAGGAGACAGCAGAGGGGATACAAGGGGGGAACGAGGAGGAAGACGGGCCGGAGAAGAGTTCGGGGGCGGAAACACAGGGCCGTAGAGAGGAAGGGGAGGAGGAGGTGGGGGAGACACCGGCGAGCGGTCAGGGGAGGGAAGGCCGAGCAGGCGAAGAGCGGAGACCGGCGGCGACGGCTGCGGCGGCTGGTGTGGCGGCTGGTGCTCGACCCTCGAACCGGCAGGGGCACGACGACCTCCGGGAGAACACTCAACAGCAGCACCCCCAGAACCAACACCCCTAGAGCGAGAACCCTCTCCAGCCCCAGCGGCACCCCCAGGCCCACCGGGACAGACCACACCAGGAGCCGTAGGACGAACATCCTCCTCAGCGCTAGCACCCCCAGAGGCCAAGAGCGGCGGCGACGGCGGCGGCGGCTGCGACGGCGGCGACGGCGGCTGCGGTGGCGGCGGCGGCGGCGACGACGGCGGAGGCTGTGACAGCGGGGGCGGAGACACCAGGGAAGGGGGACGCGGCAAAGGCAGGGCGGGGGGACCACCAAAGTCAGCAGACTCCTCAACCGGGACAACTGACGGGAGGGGAGTGACATGGGAGACACCAGACGGGGCAGGACGCAGCGGGAGGGGAGGAGGGGCTACCGGGGGAGAGGGGGCAAGGAACAGGGGGGGGGAAACCGGGAGACCTCGGTGAGGGAAGCGACGGTAGAAGGAGACAGACTCGTCAAAGGTGACGTCACGAGAGTGGAGGAAGCGGTGAGACTGCGGGTGGTAGAAGAGCCAGTCAGACGAGTCCAAGGGGAAACCAAGGAAGACACAGGGGATAGTGCAGGCAGTGAGCTTGTCCGTGCCAGAGGCACGAACGTGAGCAAGGCAGCCCCAGACGTGGAACGCAGACGCGTCACCGGGGGACCCGGTCCAAAGGAGGGTCGGCGAAACCTGCGGTCGCTGGGAGCGTGGCCACAGGTTAAGCTGGTGAGCGGCGTAGCGAACGGCGAACGGCCACAGAAAATGGGGTGCACCGGCATGGATCATGGAGGTACGAGCCACCTCCATGACCAAGCCGATGCGGCGCTCAGCAACCCCATTCTGCTGTGGCGAGTCCGGCAAGGTGTACGACTGGCCGATGCCCTCCGCACGACAGAACTATCCAAGCCGACCAGAAGCGAACTCGCTGCCACGATCAGAGTGGAGACACAACACGGGGAGACCGCGGTGAAGACGCGCAGCCACAACCCACGGGAGAAGAACGTCGGGCAGGTCGGCCTTCCGCTCCAGGGGTAACACCGTGGTGTAGCGCGTGTAGTCGTTGACAAGCACACGAAAGTAGCGCTCGCCACGCGGTCCGGGGACGGGGGCTGGGCCCCAAACGTCCAGGTGCAGGGTCTGAAGGGGAGTAATAGCAGGGCGAAGCGAGGAGGAGTGAGGGGCACGGCGGAGCCGGCCCTCGACGCAGGGCGTGCACGGTGGAGCAGGCGAGAGGGGAAAGGCGGGGAGCGACGCGGGGAGGCCTAAGACAAGACCGTGCTGGGACATGTGACGCAGACGCGGGAGTGCAGGGTGACCTAGGCGGTGGTGCCACACAAGGGACGGGTGAGTGAGAGACCGACACGAGCACGTTGCAGCGACCTAGGAGGACGCACCAACCGGGGGGGGAGCGGTGTCGAGGGTAAACAGACCGGACACCGGGTCCCGGGGGAACGTCGCAAGGGGGGAACCTAAGACAGCCTTGGTACAGACAGCGAACCGCTCGTGCGCAGGGAACGTAGTGGTGATGCCGAGGTCCTAAAGACAGCCGACACCAACCAGGTTCCTGGAGAACGAGGGAACGTGAAGGCCTGTAAGGGAGCCCGAGGGGACGGCTAGACAGGGAAGGGAAGTAGAGTTGCGAGCGACGACAGGACCCGCAGAGGGGTCAGCGAGAGCGACAACAGCAGGCGCGGCAAGCGGCGTGAGCGTGGAGAGGTCGCGGAAGAAACAGGCAGAAGCACCGGAGTCGAGAGTGAAGGACAGCGAGGCAGTAGCAGAGGCCGGGGACGATGACGGTGCAGGAATGAGGCTAGGCAACCTAGGCAGTCCTACGCCTGACGTAGCAGGGGAAGCTAAGCTACACAAGGGTGCTACACCTAAACTAGAGTACACAGGGTAATAAGATCCAGCAACACTAGAAGCGTCAGCATACAAGGCATGCAAAGCAGCACCTATCTAATCCATATCTAACTCAAAGATCGGTACGCCCTGGCGAAGCAGGCTGTGCCAGTAGGGGAGGTCCGGGGCCGGGCCAAAGCAACGACGAAAGAGATCGTCGAGGCGGTGGAAACAGCGGGCGGTCGGGTGCGGGCGGCGGCACAGAGTGCCGCAGAGAGGCCCGGTCTGAAGCTGGTACTGGCAGGTCACAGCACCGGAGCTGCCGGTAGACGCCAAGCTGCGCAGGCCACCACCTCCGGAGGTGCCGGGCCAACCAGGCGGGAGACGAGCCCACGGCTGCGGCGGCTGCTGCGGGGGTTGCTCCTGCTGCGAAGGCGACTGCGACTGCTCCTGCCCACCAGTGGTAGTCCCCTCAGGTGGACTACCGTCACCACCACCACTATCACCACCACTAGTGCCACCACTACGACCTCCCTGACGTCCACGGCCAACGCGGCGCGGGCGCTGCTGCGGGTGGACCGCAGCAGCCGTCTTGGTAAGAGGGGTGGCAGTGGTGACCGCAGCCGAAACGTCAGTAAACGTGCACTGGGAGGGGGCACAGCCGTGAAAGATAGAGACTGCCGGCGCACCGCTCGACTGAGCGATAGTGCGGTGGCGAGTCTCGATCTCGGTGAGGGTGTCGACAAAGGCGGTCAGGGTAAGGTCACCCGGGTGCTGGCTAAGGAAGCAGTCGCGGGCACTAGCTAGGCGGTCCGGCAGGCGCATGGCGATAAAATAGAGGGTTATGCAGAATGGGGGGGGGAGAGTAGTGAGCTGGGCAGCAGTGCTGGCAGTGCGATAGCGAGACTCTAGGGCACGCAAGTGAGTGGCGAAGTCTGCAACAGTAGGGAGGGCAGCAAGGTCTGGGAACGGCATCGGGAAGAGAAAGCGGCCGGCAGAAGCGGATGCAGGCGTGGAATAGCGAGCAACAACATCGTCTAAATAAGCTTTGGTCGTATCAACCATAGCGAAACGCGAGCGCTCAGATACAGGGAGGGCGTGACTGATAGCAATCTGAGCTACTGCATCGCGTGAGTCAGAGGCAAGCGCAGCAGTAGAGAAAGCCTCACTCTCAGCGGAGGTGGGGTCAGCAGGGAGGGGAGCAGGTGCAGGGGGGCGGGGGAGCAAGCCATCAGCATGGACAACCAGCGAGTGTCCATCCTGGCGCTGACCTGTAAGCTGACGGCGGAGATCGGAGAGCCAGGCGGCGAAGTCAACCGCGTGGCCCTCAGCGTCCAGGCGGAGCACGAAGTCAGCCATCGTGCAGGGTCAGCGACACAGCTCCTCAGCGACACAGCGGCACAGCTCCACAGCTCGGCAGGAGCACAGCGGCACGGGGACACGGTGGCAGCACTCTCTAGTAGGGAGGCTGCAGGGGCGCCCCAGCGCGGGCTAGCAGAGGACACAAGGCCCGAGGTGGTACGGCAGGCCGAGCAGGCACGAGGAGGGGCCGGGCGGTCGCATTGGGACCGGGCGGGCGCTAGGAGGGGCCGAGCACGTGCAGGGCGGCGGGCAGGCGCGACTGGGGGCCGGGCGGGCACGAGGAGGGGCCGGGCGGGCGCTGTTGGGGCCGGCTAGGAGCGGGCTCGACGGTCAGTGGGCTGGCCAGGAGCGGGCGCGTGGGGCCAGGGGGGGCCAGCTAGGAGCGAGCGCGATGGCCAGTGGGGCCAGCTAGGGGCGGACGCGACGGCCAGGGGGCCGGCTAGGGGCGATCGCGACGGCCAGGGGGGCCAGCTAGGGGCGGACGCGACGGCCAGGGGGCCAACTAGGGGCGGACGCGACGGCCAGGGGGCCAACTAGGGGCGGACGTGACGGCCAGGGGGCCGACTAGGGGCGGACGCGACGGCCAGGGGGCCAGCTGAGGGCGGACACGACAGCCAGGGGGCCGACTAGGGGCGGACGCGACGGCCAAGGGGCCAGCTAGGGGCGGACACGACGGCCAGGGGGGCGGCTAGGGGCGGTCGCGACGGCCAGGGGGGCCAGCTAGGGGCGGACGCGACGGCCAGGGGGCCAGCTGAGGGCGGACGCGACGGCCAGGGGGCCGACTAGGGGCGGACGCGACGGCCAAGGGGCCGGCTAGGGGCGGACGCGGCGGCCAGGGGGCCGGCTAGGGGCGGACGCGACGGCCAAGGGGCCGACTAGGGGCGGACGCGACGGCCAAGGGGCCGACTAGGGACGAACGCGACGGCCAGGGGGGCCAGCTAGGGGCGGACGCGACGGCCAGGGGGCCAGCTAGGGGCGGACGCGACGACCAGGGGGCCGGCTAGGGGCGGACGCGACGGCCAGGGGGCCGGCTAGGGGCGGGCGAGAGACTAGGGCGCGGGCGGAAGCGGGCGGGTGAACCTAACCTACTCGATACCATGTTAGAATACGTGAATGAATTACTAGAGGGGAAACAGGGAACATATAGCAGTTAGGTTGTACTCACTAAGAGCACACACCGATACTAGCCTATAACTTCTATGCATGATATGTATAAGTTGACAATATACTCTAAGGGGTTGAACCCTATATGAGCATGCACCTAGCTAGCGTATAACATATACAAATTATATGTTGACAGAGCCATCAGCCTGTTGCCCTATCATGCGGAGCTTTTGAATCCAACCAGTTCTTCCTTGCGCATGTCACGGCACTGCATTGAGCTTCTTCATGAGGATCTTGTTCATGAGGCCTGGGTTGACTCGCCCTCCCTATGCCTTCATCACCTGCACGCCATGTTGGTGACGTGCAATGTGACAACCGCAATGCACAGGCTCATGTGAGTGGGCAGAGGGGGAACACCAACACCAACATTGCTGAATACAGCTCAAGACAACGCACCTACCTCAATCGCATGCACATTCGACCACATGTGCGTGGCCATTACCACGCTCCACACACGCTCAAACACTTGTGCCACCATGCAGCCATACTGAGAGTAACATCCCTGGCAGCCCAGCAGCATGCACAAGGCGCGCATGAGCTCTCCTATAACCGACGGATGGACGCGCCCTCCCAGGCGCCGGGAGGACACGGTGGCAGCCACCCGGGCAGCACTTGGGCGCTCACTGCCTGGCACACTTGAGCAGGTGGGTGCGTACGGGCCGGAGGCACCAACTCGCCACAAGCTTGTCCAGGCCATGGCTATCACCCCAACCGCCTGCCCCGTGAAGAAGCCCTGCAGCTTGGTCTTGCCCGCGCGGTACTGCTCCAGCTGCTTCGCGTTGCCCGCCAGCACCTCGTCCACCAGCCGCTCAATGGCGGCCTCGTCCGATATCTGCACGCACGGCGTAGGGTGGATGGTCACAGGTGAAGGGTGGGAGGACACACGAGGCGGGTGGGCATGAGGAGGGGGATGGTTATTGTAAGAAAGAGACACCTCGACTAGAGAACCTAGCAGGCAAAAGTCAGCCATATTGAAACCAATGTCTTGCACTGCAATGTTCTTTACCAAACTGTAACACCCAGTTGTGTCACATCCAAATGCCACACCCCACGGGTGTTAGACTTGGGCTGCTGGTTTGAGAGTGTGTCTTATCTGCGTACCAATAGTGTTTCTGTCAGCTGGGGGAAGGGTCGTTATCTGGACTTGGTCGAATCAGGATTCTGCCAATCTGCCATGTACCACCAATCTGCCATTTATCGCCAATCTGCCATGTATCGCCAATCTGCCATGTATCGCCAATCTGCCATATGGACATTCGCCTGGATTTTCCCAACAGGCGCTGCCCTCGTGCTCTCTGACGCATTCTACTTGACCGTCACCCCACAGCCCATGAGTCACCCCACAGCCCATGAGTCAATGCACACCTGCCCATCCACGCCAACGCTGCACACCTGCCCATCCACGCCAACGCTGCATGTGAGAATCTGAAGTGATGATTGTATTAGGAAAGGAGTGGGTATACATAGGTGAGGAGTAGGAGGGAGGGGGGGGGGTTTTGGTTGGGAGGTGACCACGATTATTGGTGACCCCAATAAGTTGAGTTGGCCAACTTATTGGGGGTCCAATAATCCTAGCCAAGATTATTGGTGGGTCCAATAATCTTGGTTGGGATTATTGGGGGTTCCAATAATTGGGAGCCCAACCAATTTGGGAACCCAACAAGGTTGGGAACCCAACCCCCAACTTGGGTGTATACACCCTAGTGGGGTGCGTATAAGTTCCTAAGACAATGAAACGATGTAGGCTAATAGAATGAAGGGAGAATAGTCTAACACAACCCCTTAGCCTACAGAGTGCCATAAGTCTTGGGAAGGGGAGGAGAAGCAACCCCTGAATCAGGTAGTCCCCTGTGAGGGAGGGGCAAGACCCAGAAGGCGAAGGAGAGCCGCATGGGGACGACGAGGGAGGGCCTTGGTGAAGATGTCGGCAAGGTTGGCTGAAGAGTCAATCTTGCGCACGGTGAGGTGTCCAGCCTGGACGAGCTCACGAACGAAGTAGTGTCGGAGCTCGATGTGTTTGGAGCGACCATGGAAAACGGCTTCCTTTGTGAGGTGGATAGTACTGGCATTGTCGCACCAGATGGTGGGACAGGGCTGGGGAGCATCCAGCTCAGCGAGGAGGAAGCTGAGCCACTGCGCCTCCTGGGCCGCCATGGTGATGGCGTAGAGCTCTGCTTCGCAGGAGGAGAGAGCGATCGAGGAGGAGCGGGTGGAGCGCCAGGAAATGAGGCCGCTCCCGAGGGAGAAACCATACCCCTGTGAGCTGCGACGATCGGGCTGAGAATCTGCCCAAGAGGAGTCGCTGTAGCCAGTGAGCTGAGGAGGGGTGGGGCCGCCCAAGGTGAGGACATAGTCCTTGGTGCCTTTGATGTAGCGGAGAACGCGCTTGGCAGCTTGCCAGTGCTCGGGAGTGTGTTTGCCAGCGCCGACAAAGCGCGCCAGGACACTGATAGGGTAGGCGAGGTCGGGGCGAGTGCACATCATGGCGTACATCAGGGACCCGACCAGCTCAGCGTAAGGACTGGTGGAGGAACCGTGGGTGGTTGTCGGCGAGAGCTGGTGGCCGACTTGGAGGGGTGTGGAGACGGGTTTGGCCGTGGCCATCTCGAGGTAGAATGCCTGAGAGAGGGAGATGGTCCTGGCCGTACGATCGCGAGAAATCTCCATCCCGAGGTAGTTGCGGACCTCCCCCAGGTCCTTGCAGAGGAGGCGCTTCTGCAGCTCATCCTTGACCTGTTGTAGGTCTGCTTCGTTGTCAGCAGCAAGAAGCATGTCGTCGACGTAGACGAGGATATAGAAGGGGGAGGGGGAGGTGCGCAGGAAGAGGCAGGAGGAAGCCTGGGAAGGGCGAAAACCAAGAGCACGGAGAGTGCTCGAGAGCTTGGCATGCCATTCCCGAGGAGCTTGCTTGAGGCCGTAGACCGGGCGGCGAAGTTCCCAAACAGTGTTGGGAGGGAAAGGGAGGTGCCAGCCCTCGGGACGCTCCATGAAGATGCGCTCATGGAGTTCACCTTGGAGAAATGCCGTGGTGACATCCATCGAGTGCAGGATCATGCCGCGCCGGCCAACGAAGTCCAAGAACACGCGGACGACAGGGGGAGTGGCGGTCGGCGAGTACGTGTCAAGGAAGTCATGGCCGTACCGCTGCATAAATCCTTTGGCGCAGTAGCGGGCCTTATAGACTGGGTCGTCGCCAGGGAGGAGCTTGACCCGAAATACCCATTTGCCTTTGACCACGTTGTGGTTGAGAGGGCGGGGTACGTCGATGAAGGTGCCGTTGCGGACAAAGGCCTCGTTCTCTTTGAGGACTGCCTTGCCCCAATGAGGGTGGTCGGGGCATGTCATAGCTTCGTGATAATCTCCCGGCTCGAAGATGATGGGCGCACCGGAGAAGACCAGTACTGGAGCGCCGGTCATGCTGAAGGCGACTGTTTGGGTGTTGGAGAAGAGGTGGAGGCGAAGAAATTCACCATGGGAGTCTTCGATGAGGAGGGGAGAGAAAGGAGGAGGAAGGGAGGGTGGTGTTGCAAGTCTGCTGCGCTGCTGAGGGGGGAGGCTGCGACACTGCGACTCTGCGACTCGGCTGCACGGCTGCTTGACCGGGGCAACTGCTGCGGCGGATCCTGACGCTGCGGGTGCGGCGACCGGGGCAGGCACTGGTGCGGCGGCGGGAGCTGCTGCGGCGGGTGCGGAGGTGGAAGCAGAGGGTGCTGGAGCGGGTGCCTTTGCCTGAGGGGAGGGAGGGGCTAAGGGCGGACCAAAGAGGGGATCCATGGACCGAGTATGAGGGCGGTGGCGAAGGACAAGGGGAGAAGACACCTGGGGGGGTGGAGGAGGAGGTGGGGGGGGTGGGGGAGGAGGGGGGGAAGGAGGTGGAGGGGGGGAGGTGGGGAGAAGGGGGAGGATGGAGCGGAAGCGGAGTGAGAGGGAGAGGGGGGAAGTACTGGGTCAAGGATGTCACCTGAGGAAGATGAGGAGGGAGCAGATTCGGGAGGAGGAGGTGCTGGGGGTGGGGGAATAAGAGGGAGAGGGGGGAGGAGGGGGGGGGTGACAGTGTCAGAGGGGATGAAGGGACGAGGAGGAATGGTGAGTGGGTCAGGTGAGGCAGGAGAGGTGTAGTACGGGGAGGATTCGTCAAAGATGACGTCCCGACTACGAATGAGGCGACCTGAGGGGGGATGAAGGAAGAGGTAGTCAGGGGAGGAGGTGTTGTGACCAAGGAATACACAGGGTAGACTCTTGGAGGCGAGCTTCCCTGCTGTGCGTGAGCGGTCGGCTGGGGGTATGAGAACATACGCCCTGGAACCCCAGACGCGCAGGGGGGAGACGTCGGGTTTAGTTGACGTCCACAGCTCGGTGGGGGTGGTGGAGAGGAGGTGAGGGTGGGGATACAGGTTAGTGAGGAGGACGGCGTGGAGAAGAGCATAACCCCAGAGAGAAGGCGGGCAGGAGGCGTGAACGAGAAGACACCTGGCGGTCTTTGTAACTTCTCGAACACGAGCTTCTGCCACGCCATTCTGCTGAGGGGAGTGAGGGAGGGTGTAAGTGTGGTGAATACCATGGGTGGAGAAATAGGAAGAGAGATGGTGATTGAGGAATTCACCGCCGCCATCGGAATGGAAGCGGCGAACGGGACGACCGAAGTGGGTGCGCGCCTGCTCGGCCCAGGCGATGATAAAGGCCGATGCTTCGGCCTTCGTGCGAAGGAGGGAGACCGAGGTGTATCGTGAGCGGTCATCGACTAGGACGAGGAGGTAGCGGTGCCCTTGACGGGTGGGGGAGGGGTTGGGGCCCCAGAGATCCATGTGGACAAGATCCAGGAGCTCTGGGGCGCAAGAAGGGTGACTTTTATGAGAAAGCTGCTTGAGCTTGCTCTGGACACAGATGGTGCAAGGTGGGGCGGGGGAGGGAGGGAGTGGGGGGAGAGTGAGGGGAAGGCCATTGAGGAGCCCGGAGGCGACGGCCTTGTGGAGGGTGGCAAAGTTGGGGTGACCTAGGCGGTGGTGGAGGAGGATGGCAGGATGTGTAAGATCACGACAGTGGCACTGAGATGGGGGGGGAGCAGGAGGGGCGGGAGGGGAGGTGGAGGGAGGTTGCGGAGGAAAGAGGGGAGGGGGGAGGGGAGGGATGGTGGAGGCAGTGTGACAGGCTGACGGACGGGGAGTGTGAAGGGTGTACATGCGAGTGCGAGGACACATGGGAACACGGACGATGAAATGGCCCGTGGATGAGTGAAACAAGTCGCAGTGGGTGGCGTGGCCGGGGTAGATTGTTGTGACCCCGGCCCGTTGAAGTGCACCTTGGGAGACGAGGTTAGTGCGAAGGGAGGGGACATGGAAGCCAGTTACTGAACCTGAGGGGAAGAGGGGGCAGGGAAGGGTGGAGGTATGGCGGGAGGTGACCGAGAAAGTAGAATCGGCTCCAATGATGGTGGAGGGGTTAGGGAGGGGGGTGAGGGCACCAGCATCACGAAGGACTGTGACACTGGCGCCGCTGTCAATGACAAACTCAATGGAAGGAGGGGTGGGGTGAGACACGGAGTACTGGAAGGAGGTTTCATTAATAGACTCGGGATACATTGGAGGAATAGCAGGAGAGGCATGGCTAACATGGTTGATGAAGCCAGGTGAGGGAAATGGGGTAAAGCCAGGAGGTCCGGTGGGGGCCTGCGCAGGAGGAGCAGGAGCAGACAGGCCAGAGCTCCAGGCGGAGGGAGGGGAGGGCTGCTGCTGAGACTGCTGGTGCTGCTGAGACTGTTGCAGCTGCTGGAGGAGCTGCTGCAGGAGCTGCTGCGGCTGCTGCTGGGACTGATGCGGATGCTGGTTCTGCTGCGGCTGCTGGTTCTGCTGCGGCTGCTGAGTCTGCTGCGGCTGTGGGGATGGAAGGAGGGGCGTGACCTGCTGGAGGATTTGTGGAGGGAGGTGCTGTGCAAGGATGTGGTGGAGAGAGGTTGAGGAGGGCTGATAGGCGGGGAGGGTACGAACATCAAAGGGAGTGGGAGGTGGAGTGATAGCGGACCAGCGAGGGGGCGTGCCCGTGTTGCCTCGATCAAGCCACTCATCAGTGAGGGCCTTGAAACATGTGGTGGTGGCATGGGTGGTTTGGAGGCAGCGCTTACCCTTGTTGGGGCCGTTGCGGATGAGATACTGACACGGGGAGAAGCCGCCGGTGCTGTTGGAACCACTGCTACCCCCGCGTCCTCCACTGCGCCCCCCGCCACGTCCACCACCCGATCGTCCCGCCGAAGTACCGCCACGGCCAGCACCACGTCCTCCTTTTGCTTGGGCAGCATGAGCCGTTGGAGGAGACTGGCGGAGGAGCTCCGCTTCAGTTTTCAGAATCCATGCGGCTACATAGGCGGAGTCGGGTGGGAAGCTGGCGTGGACCTCATTGAACGCCACGCGACGGGCCTCATACAAGGGGGTGAGGCCGTCGAGGAGGCGGCAAACGATGAGGGAGTCGGGAAGGGGAGAGCGACGATCGGCAAGGCGTTTGGCAGTGGTGAGGAGGCGGCGCGTGAAGGAGAGGGCGTTGGGGCAGGAGTCAAGGTTGATGTCGAGGAAGGCGCGGTGGAGCGCTAGGAGAGAGTTGGTGTCCTGGAGGTCATAGGTGGCACATAGCTCTTTCCAGAACTCGGGAGCGGAGGAGGGGGTAATTTCGCGTTTGAGGGAGGAAGGAACGCATGCAGACAGGATAGCGAGACATTTGCGGTTGGCAACGTTCCAGGCAGAGTGGCGACGACGGTACTCACGAAAGTCGTCAGCATACTTAGCCGTGGCGTCCTTGTGCTGTTGGAGGAGTGTGTTGGCAGCGTCGTGCGCAGCTTGCTCTGCGTCATACGCGTGATGGAGGAGAGTGTACTCCGCAAAGTCCTTGTCATATTGGTGTTGCACGCGAGCCCAGCGATCAGGGTCGTCGGTGTAGACCAGTGGAGAGGGCTTGGTGGGGGCCGGTCCCGAGGGGGCCGGGGGTGGGGCGGGAGGTGCAGGGGAGACATCAGCGGGACATTCGGGGGGCTGCCCTGCGTCATTGCCAAGGAGAATGTCAAGGAGGCAGTAGTCGTTGATGATAGCGGATCCGAGGACATTGGTAAGGCTCTGGGCAAAGGTAGCCCAGTTGACAGGGACGGCGTCGTCGATGAGCTCGAGGACGTCGATGGTGGAGATGTCGACGGCGAGTGTTTCGGTGGTCATGGTGCGATTGCGGATGCTGCTGCTGTTGCTGCTGGGGATGAGTGGAGAGGGGAGAAGGAGGAGGGAGGGGAGGGGGGGGGAAATACGGCTGCTGCTGCTGATGGTGCGGCTGCTGGAGATGAGGCGGCTGCTGCAGCTGGTGGGGGGAGGAAGGGGAGTAGGGGGAGGTGGAGGGGGGAGATGTGGCTGCTGCGGCTGATGAAGGGAGTGGGGAGGAGGTGAAGGCCGGTGGAGGGTGCGGTTGCGGTTGCTGATGCGGCTGCTGCGTTTGATTGAGGAAGGATGCGGCTGCTGCTGTTCGTGGGGAAGGAGGAGAGGAGGAGAGGGGAAGGGGTGGGGGGGGGGAGAGAGAGGGAGGGGAGGAGGGGAGGGAGGAAGGGGGGGGGGGGGAGGAAGAAGACGGGTGCGCGGAGCGCAGCTCTTAAGTCGCCGTAGGTGACTTAAACGAGCTGCGCGACGCGAAGCCTTCTTCGGGCGCCGATGCGAAAGGCGACGGCCGGCGCAGATGGTGAGGACCGGACGCCGAAATGCAGACGAGCGCCGCGCCGAAATGCGGCCGGCCGGGCGCCGCGCCGAAATGCGGCCGGGCGCCGTGCCGAAATGCGGCCGGGCGCCGCGCCGAAATGCGGCCGGGCGCCGCGCCGAAATGCGGCCGGGCGCCGCGCCGAAATGCGGCAGGAGCGCCGCGCCGAAATGCGGCCGAGCGCCGCGTCGAAATGCGGCAGGAGCGCCGCGCCGAAATGCGGCCGAGCGCCGCGTCGAAATGCGGCCGGAGCGCCGCGCCGAAATGCGGCCGAGCGCCGCGCTGAAGTGCGGCCGAGCACCGCGTCGAAATGCGGCCGGAGCGTCGCGCGAAAATGCAGCGCTTAAGGGCGCGAGGAGAGGCGCTTAAGGGCGCGGGGAGGGGCGCTTGTGGGCGCGGGGAGGGGCCCTTATGGGCGCGGGGAGGGGCGCTTATGGGCGCGGGGAGGGGCGCTTATGGGCGCGGGGAGGGGCGCCTAAAGGCGCAGAGAAGGACGCTGAAGGGCGCGGGGAGGGGCGCTTAAAGGCGCGGAGAGGGGCGCTTAAGGGCGCGGGGAGGGGCGCGTTGGGCGCGAGGTGGCTAGGGATCGAACGACGGAGAGGCGTGAGCCATAAGCTCTGAAACCATGTGAGAATCTGAAGTGATGATTGTATTAGGAAAGGAGTGGGTATACATAGGTGAGGAGTAGGAAGGAGGGGGGGGGGTTTTGGTTGGGAGGTGACCACGATTATTGGTGACCCCAATAAGTTGAGTTGGCCAACTTATTGGGGGTCCAATAATCCTAGCCAAGATTATTGGTGGGTCCAATAATCTTGGTTGGGATTATTGGGGGTTCCAATAATTGGGAGCCCAACCAATTTGGGAACCCAACAAGGTTGGGAACCCAACCCCCAACTTGGGTGTATACACTCTAGTGGGGTGCTTATAAGTTCCTAAGACAATGAAACGATGTAGGCTAATAGAATGAAGGGAGAATAGTCTAACACTGCACACCTGCCCATCCACGCCAACGCTGCACACCTGCCCATCCACGCCAACGCTGCACACCTGCCCATCCACGCCAACGCTGCACACCTGCCCATCCACGCCAACGCTGCACACCTGCCCATCCACGCCAACGCTGCACAACTTTCCATACACGCCAACGGTGCTCGCGCCACATGGCTGTCACACGCCACCCAACGCAATGGGGAGCCTCCCGACATCAAGGTGCGTGCTCTGCTTTCTGATAAAGTTGTCTCCACAGCCGGGTTGGCCACAGTCACGACGCGCTTTGATGAAGCTGTCGACAAATCTACAGGAGTTTGTTCCTAGCGTCACCATCTACTGTTGTCAGCACGGCCCGTAAGAAGTGTTGGAACAACCAAGAAACCCCCAACCCCTCGCGTACCGTGCACTGATTGACAGCTGAAGAGGTGAGTGTGGACTCAGGTGCACTCCACTTGTGCGGCACATCACATCACAGTCCACAAGGCTTTGCTCTCCACGCAGTCGCCCCACGGATCCTGACCACCTGCTTGCTCACGCATCCGAACACCTCATCATTCTCCATACTCCTCACTGTCACACCCCTCACCTACACCACCCCTCACCTGCACCACCCCTCACCTGCACCACCCCTCACCTGCACCACCCCTCACCTGCACCACCCCTCACTTGCACCACCCCTCGCCTGCACCGGTCACCTGCAGCAGCCCCTTGGCCTCCACCAGCTTGTGCGCACTGCCGCCCTCCGAGAAGAGCACCGGCAGCAGCTGCGGGGCACGAGGGGGAGGGGGGATAGGGAGAGAGGAGAGGAGGAGGAGGAAAGAAGGAAATGGCAGCAAGGAAATTGGAAGAGAGAGGCGGCGAGGGAGGGAGAGGCGGGTGCAAGGCAAAGACAGACGGTGGTCAAGCAGATGGGAATGGAAACAGTGGATCGGAGAGAAAAGTGGAAAGAGGGGAATGAAATGGGATGGGACACAGCTTGACCTCCTTGTATGATTGGGTGGGGGTTACATGGCGTCACAAAGGTGCAAAACCCTTGAACCCACTGAGATCCATAACTGAGATCCATAACTGAGATCCATAACTGAGATCCATAACTGAGATCCATAACTGAGATCCATAACTGAGATCCATAACTGAGATCCATAACTGAGATCCATAACTGAGATCCATAACTGAGATCCATAACTGAAATCCATAACTGAGATCCATAACTGAGATCCATAACTGAGATCCATAACTGAGATCCATAACTGAGATCCATAACTGAGATCCATAACTGAAATCCATAACTGAGATCCATAACTGAGATCCATAACTGAGATCCATAACTGAGATCCATAACTGAGATCCATAACTGAGATCCATAACTGAGATCCATAACTGAGATCCATAACTGAGATCCATAACTGAGATCCATAACTGAGATCCATAACTGAGATCCATAACTGAGATCCATAACTGAGATCCATAACTGAGATCCATAACTGAGATCCATAACTGAGATCCATAACTGAGATCCATAACTGAGATCCATAACTGAGATCCATAACTGAGATCCATAACTGAGATCCATAACTGAGATCCATAACTGAGATCCATAACTGAGATCCATAACTGAGATCCATAACTGAGATCCATAACTGAGATCCATAACTGAGATCCATAACTGAGATCCATAACTGAGATCCATAACTGAGATCCATAACTGAGATCCATAACTGAGATCCATAACTGAGATCCATAACTGAGATCCATAACTGAGATCCATAACTGAGATCCATAACTGAGATCCATAACTGAGATCCATAACTGAGATCCATAACTGAGATCCATAACTGAGATCCATAACTGAGATCCATAACTGAGATCCATAACTGAGATCCATAACTGAGATCCATAACTGAGATCCATAACTGAGATCCATAACTGAGATCCATAACTGAGATCCATAACTGAGATCCATAACTGAGATCCATAACTGAGATCCATAACTGAGATCCATAACTGAGATCCATAACTGAGATCCATAACTGAGATCCATAACTGAGATCCATAACTGAGATCCATAACTGAAATCCATAACTGAGATCCATAACTGAGATCCATAACTGAGATCCATAACTGAGATCCATAACTGAGATCCATAACTGAGATCCCGCACCCACAGGACCAGCACCACGCTCCCCCTTGCCTAGCTTGCAAAAAACGCTAGAAAAACGCTGTACTCTCGCGTTTTTTGGGGCAGCTCGTAAAAAAAAGGGGAAAAAAATCGCAACACTTGGAGAGGTGTCGAACCTAACCAGGAGCTCCGCCACGCCATGTCACGAAATTGACATCGGGGGCCCAAAACTTGTCCCAACCCCAAAATTCCTCCAACCGCACACCACCACAGCCCATTCAGAAAGCCTAACCACCTCCAGCGCATATCACGCTCCATCCCGCAAATTTGCCTCACGATTTTAGCTACCTGGGAGCAACGACCTCATTTCTCCTGGCATGCTAAAGTCTTAGCGCCACTTCTCAACAGCGGCCATGTCCAATCCACGCAATACAACCCCAGCCCAGGGCAATGCTGCCCGGAATTTGTTTTACCTGCCGGGCCAAGCGTTTTTCTAGCGTTTCGCCCACCCCTCCCGTAGCGTTTTTTGCAACATAGCTCCATGCCTCTCAGCTCCTCCCCTCTCACCTCCTCGCCTCTCTCTCACCTCCTCGCCTCTCTCTCACCTCCTCGCCTCTCTCTCCCCTCCTGGCCCCTGGGCGCACCTCCCTGCCCCTGGGCGCACCTCCTTGCCAATCTTGCCGCTGACGGTGCCCTCCTGGATGAGTGCGATGAGCTCCGCCAGGGTGCTGGGCGGCATCACCGCCGCCATGCCCGCCACGCTCCTGCGCTCCGCCTTGAGCAGCGCCGTCACGTCGCCCATCAGCCAGTTCGCCGCCACCTTGGCGTCCGCCCCAGCCGCCAGCACACCATCAAAGTCCGAGAACTGGAAAGAGAGCGGGGGGGGGGGAGAGGAGAGACGGGCGTGTGGTTCCAATCGCTCCCACCCATGCCGTGGCAGCTGCACTGCGGCTCCCATGCCATCACCTCGCCACACAGCCCCCAATCTCCTTATAGCAGTGTAGCCATTCCCTTATCATCACCTCCTTATAGTCACCTCCCTATGACCACCCCCTTATCATCACCCCCTTATCATCTCCCCCTAAACATCACCCTCTTAAAATCACCTCCCGCCACGCACCTCCTTATAATGACCTCCTTGTCATCCGCCAGCACGAGCACGTCCTGCATGGGCAGCCCCAGCGCCTCGTATCACCGCCACCTCTGCTCTGGCAGCTCGGGCAGGGCGGCGCGCAGCTGCTCTAGGAATTGCTGTGAGAGGGCCAGCGCGGACAGGTCGGGCTCGGGGAAGTAGCTGTAGTCCGCCAGGCCTTCCTTGGACTGCGTGGGTGCCGTTTGCTGGGGGGGGTGGGGAAGGGGGAGTTTAAGGAGAAAGAAGTTGAGGAACTGAAGTGAGAGACAAGAGTGAGCACAGGAGGCGAGAGAAGAGCGCGGCAATGAGTTGAGAAAAGATGGACGAGGAATACGCCTCTCACCTGCCTGCCCGCCTCTCACCTGCCTGCCCTCATCCCACCTGGGTGCCCCCCGTCCCACCCGGGGGGGCCCCCGTCCCACCCGGGGGGCCCCCGTCCCCCCCGGGTGCCCTCGTCCCACCTTGGTGCCCTCGTCTCACGTGGGGGCCCTCGTCCCACCTGGGGGCCCTGGTGCCACGTGGGTGCCCTCGTCCCACCTGGGTGCCCTCGTCCCAGAGGTGGGTCTCCTGCAAGATCTCATGCACCCTGCCGTCTCTCAGCAGGCTTGACTGTCGGCAGATCTCGAAGTCGATGGCGCGCTGCATCTCGCGGAATGAGTTCATGTTCTTCACCTCCACCTGCCGCACACGCACAGCCACACGCGCACGCACACAGGGGCTCGCACTTCAAACCATCAGCAAGCCTCCGTGCATTGGATGAAGGTGCGTGTGGTAAAACACGTCGCTGCAGGTCAGTGTGCGGAAGGATGCAACTTTCCTGCAGCTGAATGGGATCCGTGCTTGGTACCGCTGCCAGCCTTCGTGCCCAAGTCTCCTAGAAGTACCTCAAACCATGGGTCGCCAGCCCATCCCCATCGCCTTCCCTCACAACACACATTGGTCCTGGCGAGCCTCTCACCTTGGTGCCGAGCCTATCCCCTTGGTGCCGAAGGTCTCTTGCTACCTGGGTCGCACGGAGACGTCGACATCGCAGCGCATGGAGCCCTGCGCCCACGTACCGCACCTGGGGGGGCACGCACGGGATGGGCCGCACGCGGTGCCCGCGAGGTGAGGGCGCACAGGCTAGTGCACATGGGCTGCATGGACCGCATCCACTGCATGGTTGTAGGACGATACAAGGTGCATGGTTGTAGGGCGGTACAAGGTGCATGGTTGCAGGACGGTACAAGGTGCATGTTTGCAGGACGCTACAAGGAGCATGGTTGCTGGACGGTACAAGGTGCATGGTTGCTGGACGGTACAAGGTGCATGGTTGCAGGGCGGTACAAGGTGCATGGTTGCAGGACGGTGCAAGGTGCATGGTTGCAGGACGGTACAAGGTGCATGGTTGCAGGACCGTACAAGGAACAAAGGAGGAGCTGAAGACACAGACAAAAGGTCCAAAACAGACCATTGCTTGGATGACTGCACAGCACTGTGTATGCCACACATACAGTGCAAACATACAGCGCACACATACAGCACACACATACATACAGCGCACACATACAACACACACATACAGCGCACACATACAGCGCACACATACAGGCGCACACGTACAGCGCACACGTACAGCGCACACGTACAGTGCACACGTACAGCGCACACGTACAGCGCACACGTACAGCGCACACGCACAGCGCACACATACAGCGCACACATACAGCGCACACATACAGCGCACACATACAGCGCACACGTACAGCGCACACGTACAGCGCACACGTACAGCGCACACGTACAGCGCACACGTACAGCGCACACGTACAGCGCACACGTACAGCGCACACGTACAGCGCACACCTACAGCGCACACGTACAGCGCACACGTACAGCGCACACGTACAGCGGACACCTACAGCGGACACCTACAGCGGACACGTACAGCGCACACGTACAGCGCACACGTACAGCGCACACGTACAGCGCACACGTACAGCGCACACGTACAGCGCACACGTACAGCGCACACGTACAGCGCACACGTACAGCGCACACGTACAGCGCACACCTACAGCGCACACCTACAGCGCACACATACAGCGCACACATACAGCGCACACATACAGCGCACACGTACAGCGCACACGTACAGCGCACACGTACAGCGCACACGTACAGCGCACACGTACAGCGCACACGTACAGCGCACACGTACAGCGCACACGTACAGCGCACACGTACAGCGCACACGTACAGCGCACACGTACAGCGCACACGTACAGCGCACACGTACAGCGCACACGTACAGCGCACACGTACAGCGCACACGTACAGCGCACACGTACAGCGCACACGTACAGCGCACACGTACAGCGCACACGTACAGCGCACACGTACAGCGCACACGTACAGCGCACACGTACAGCGCACACGTACAGCGCACACGTACAGCGGACACCTACAGCGGACACCTACAGCGGACACGTACAGCGCATACGTACAGCGCACACGTACAGCGCACACATACAGCGCACACGTACAGAGCGCACACATACAGCGCACACATACAGCGCACACGTACAGCGGACACCTACAGCGGACACCTACAGCGGACACCTACAGCGCACACGTACAGCGCACACGTACAGCGCACACGTACAGCGCACACGTACAGCGCACACGTACAGCGCACACGTACAGCGCACACGTACAGCGCACACGTACAGCGGACACCTACAGCGCACACGTACAGCGCACACGTACAGCACACACGTACAGCGCACACGTACAGCGCACACGTACAGCGCACACCTACAGCGGAGACCTACAGCGGAGACCTACAGCGGAGACCTACGGCGCACACGTACAGCGCACACATACAGCGCACACATACAGCGGACACCTACAGCGGACACCTACAGCGCACACGTACAGCGCACACGTACAGCGCACACGTACAGCGGACACCTACAGCGCACACGTACAGCGCACACGTACAGCACACACGTACAGCGCACACGTACAGCGCACACGTACAGCGCACACCTACAGCGCTACAGCGGAGACCTACAGCGGAGACCTACAGCGCACACGTACAGCGCACACGTACAGCGCACACGTACAGCGCACACGTACAGCGCACACGTACAGCGCACACGTACAGCGGACACATACAGCGGACACCTACAGCGGACACCTACAGCGGACACCTACAGCGGACACCTACAGCGCACACGTACAGCGCACACGTACAGCGCACACGTACAGCGCACACGTACAGCGCACACGTACAGCGCACACGTACAGCGCACACGTACAGCGCACACGTACAGCGCACACGTACAGCGCACACGTACAGCGCACACGTACAGCGCACACGTACAGCGCACACGTACAGCGCACACGTACAGCGCACACGTACAGCGCACACGTACAGCGCACACGTACAGCGGACACGTACAGCGGACACGTACAGCGGACACATACAGCGGACACCTACAGCGGACACGTACAGCGGACACGTACAGCGCACACGTACAGCGCACACGTACAGCGCACACGTACAGCGCACACGTACAGCGCACACGTACAGCGCACACGTACAGCGCACACGTACAGCGCACACGTACAGCGCACACGTACAGCGCACACGTACAGCGCACACGTACAGCGCACACGTACAGCGCACACGTACAGCGCACACGTACAGCGCACACGTACAGCGCACACGTACAGCGCACACGTACAGCGCACACCTACAGCGCACACCTACAGCGCACACATACAGCGCACACCTACAGCGCACACATACAGCGCACACATACAGCGCACACGTACAGCGCACACGTACAGCGCACACGTACAGCGCACACCTACAGCGGACACCTACAGCGGACACCTACAGCGGACACCTACAGCGCACACGTACAGCGCACACGTACAGCGCACACGTACAGCGCACACGTACAGCGCACACGTACAGCGCACACGTACAGCGCACACGTACAGCGCACACGTACAGCGCACACCTACAGCGCACACCTACAGCGCACACGTACAGCGCACACGTACAGCGCACACGTACAGCGCACACGTACAGCGCACACGTACAGCGCACACGTACAGCGCACACCTACAGCGGACACCGTACAGCGGACACGTACAGCGCACACGTACAGCGCACACGTACAGCGCACACGTACAGCGCACACGTACAGCGCACACGTACAGCGCACACGTACAGCGCACACGTACAGCGCACACGTACAGCGCACACGTACAGAGCACACGTACAGCGCACACGTACAGCGCACACGTACAGCGCACACGTACAGCGCACACGTACAGCGCACACGTACAGCGCACACGTACAGCGCACACATACAGCGGACACCTACAGCGGACACGTACAGCGCACACGTACAGCGCACACGTACAGCGCACACGTACAGCGCACACGTACAGCGCACACGTACAGCGCACACGTACAGCGCACACGTACAGCGCACACGTACAGCGCACACGTACAGCGCACACATACAGCGCACACGTACAGCGCACACATACAGCGCACACATACAGCGGACACCTACAGCGGACACCTACAGCGCACACGTACAGCGCACACGTACAGCGCACACGTACAGCGCACACGTACAGCGCACACGTACAGCGCACACGTACAGCGCACACGTACAGCGCACACGTACAGCGCACACGTACAGCGCACACGTACAGCGCACACGTACAGCGCACACGTACAGCGCACACGTACAGCGCACACGTACAGCGCACACGTACAGCGCACACGTACAGCGCACACGTACAGCGCACACGTACAGCGCACACGTACAGCGCACACGTACAGCGCACACGTACAGCGCACACGTACAGCGCACACGTACAGCGCACACGTACAGCGCACACGTACAGCGCACACTTACAGCGCACACTTACAGCGCACACGTACAGCACACACGTACAGCGCACACATACAGCGCACACATACAGCGCACACATACAGCGGACACCTACAGCGGACACGTACAGCGCACACGTACAGCGCACACGTACAGCGCACACGTACAGCGCACACGTACAGCGCACACGTACAGCGCACACGTACAGTGCACACGTGCACACGTACAGCGCACACGTACAGCGTACACGTACAGCGCACACGCTGTACACATACAGCGGACACCTACAGCGGACACCTACA